CTGCCCGATTGGGTTGCCCTAGGTGCCGCTTACAGACCGATAGTAACTATTTAAAAATAAAGTTTATTCCCTACGTGCCGCTTGAAGACCGTTCAAAAATTACAAGAACTCCCCAAACATAAAAAAATCTGTTTCCCTGCCCGTTTGGGTTGCCCTACGTGCCGCTTACAGACCGATAGTAACTATTTAAAAATAAAGTTTATTCCCTACGTGCCGCTTGAAGACCGTTCAAAAATTACAAGAACTCCCCAAACATAAAAAAATCTGTTTCCCTGCCCGTTTGGGTTGCCCTACGTGCCGCTTACAGACCGATAGTAACTATTCATAAAGATTATTCCCTACGTGCCGCTTAAAGACCGTTTAAAAATTATAAGGACCGCCCCAAACATGCAAAAATCTGTTTCCCTGCCCGATCGGGTTGCCCTACTTGCCGCTTACAAACCAATATTATCTATCTAAAAGACAGTTCATGCCCTACGTGCTGCTTGAAGACCGTTCAAAAATTACAACTGCCCCAAACATACAAAAATGTTTCCCTGCCCGATTGGGTTGCCCTAGGTGCCGCTTACGACAGTTCATGCCCTACGTGCCGCTTGAAGACCGCTCAAAAATTACAACTGCCCCAAACATAAAAAAAAATCTGTTTCCCTGCCCGATCGGGTTGCCCTAGGTGCCGCTTACGACAGTTCATGCCCTACGTGCCGCTTGAAGACCGCTCAAAAATTACAACTGCCCCAAACATACAAAAATGTTTCCCTGCCCGATTGGGTTGCCCTAGGTGCCGCTTACAGACCGATAGTAACTATTTAAAAATAAAGTTTATTCCCTACGTGCCGCTTGAAGACCGTTCAAAAATTACAAGAACTCCCCAAACATAAAAAAATCTGTTTCCCTGCCCGATTGGGTTGCCCTAGGTGCCGCTTACAGACCGATAGTAACTATTTAAAAATAAAGTTTATTCCCTACGTGCCGCTTGAAGACCGTTCAAAAATTACAAGAACTCCCCAAACATAAAAAAATCTGTTTCCCTGCCCGTTTGGGTTGCCCTACGTGCCGCTTACAGACCGATAGTAACTATTTAAAAATAAAGTTTATTCCCTACGTGCCGCTTGAAGACCGTTCAAAAATTACAAGAACTCCCCAAACATAAAAAAATCTGTTTCCCTGCCCGTTTGGGTTGCCCTACGTGCCGCTTACAGACCGATAGTAACGATTCATAAAGATTATTCCCTACGTGCCGCTTAAAGACCGTTTAAAAATTATAAGGACCGCCCCAAACATGCAAAAATCTGTTTCCCTGCCCGATCGGGTTGCCCTACTTGCCGCTTACAAACCAATATTATCTATCTAAAAGACAGTTCATGCCCTACGTGCTGCTTGAAGACCGTTCAAAAATTACAACTGCCCCAAACATACAAAAATGTTTCCCTGCCCGATTGGGTTGCCCTAGGTGCCGCTTACGACAGTTCATGCCCTACGTGCCGCTTGAAGACCGCTCAAAAATTACAACTGCCCCAAACATAAAAAAAAATCTGTTTCCCTGCCCGATCGGGTTGCCCTAGGTGCCGCTTACGACAGTTCATGCCCTACGTGCCGCTTGAAGACCGCTCAAAAATTACAACTGCCCCAAACATTAAAAAAATCTGTTTCCCTGCCCGTTTGGGTTGCCCTACGTGCCGCTTACAGACCGATAGTAACTATTCAAAAATAAAGTTTACATTATATTATTATACATTTTGTATTCCCTACGTGCCGCTTGAAGACCGTTCAAAAATTACAAGAACTCCCCAAACATAAGAAAATCTGTTTCCCTGCCCGATCGGGTTGCCCTACGTGCCGCTTACAGACCGATAGTAACTATTTAGAAATAAAGTTTATTCCCTACGTGCCGCTTGAAGACCGTTCAAAAATTACAACTGCCCCAAACATAAAAAAAATCTGTTTCCGGGCCCGTTTGGGTTGCCCTACGTGCCGCTTACAGACCGATAGTAACTATTCAAAAAGATTATTCCCTACGTGCCGCTTGAAGATCCTCCTATAATATAACATCGAAAGCGGTTTGTGGACGGCGTTTCGCCAGAAGTAGAACACGCACGAAGTGAGGAGCGAGCTCGACCGCAGAGAATTTTGGGGGCGTGGTTTCGCCGGGTGGCATTCGCAGCTGTACAGCCGCACAGTGCTGGCGTTCTTTCTAAAGCTCAGCAACTTAAGGAGAAGGGGGTATTAAGCACTTTTCCGTTGCATGTAGCAAATTGTGCAATGGTGCTAATACTTCAGCCCAACCACTGCTTGCGCTTTTCTTGCTCCGCAAATACTTCTGTTCGTTGCCTTCTTGAATCATTACAAAAACCATCATTCATGTCGACGTTCCCTATTTTTACCACTTTGATGGGAGCTGAAGCTTTTTGATCTGGCATACAGACAGTCAGCAGCCTCTTAGTTCCACACCTTTGCTTACGAAATCATTTCGTTTACAAAATTTGGCCAGATTTTTGCCGAGCTGTGCCGTTGATACGTTTTTTCAGACAGTGGCAAAGGAACACCTAATTTTGATGATTAGGTTCCAAAACGTACTTAGGAACAACCTGTTTCTGATCAAGACTGAGTTAGAGCTTTTTGATAAACTTGACGCAAATGATCACAACTAGATTCACGGTGCTCAGTTCCAAAACTTATCTTATTAGCAAAAATACATGAGCTTCTGTTTATCGGCCTCACAGATGGCTTTATAAGCGAATTGATCCTGCTCCCCATGTCAATCTAATGGAAGATGAAGTTTTTTAACATAATATAATACTAGATCGCATTACAACTTTTATGCCAAAAAATCCTTGTTAGACTATATATATGATTGATTTTAGTAGAGCTGAACGCACTTCGCTTGGTAGTGTATAATATTCTCCCAGATAATAGCGAAAATTTTGAAAATTTGGCGATGACTGCTGTCAACTGATCCTTGGAACAGCACCAATACTCGACCGTCGACCACAATGGATGCTGACTCATCGCGCTTGCTCTTCGTAGTAAGCTAGGACGGGTCAGCCAATTTACATGTCTAGACCGTTGATCACGCCAGGAGCTGACTCATCATAGTTGATCTTTGCAAACCGAGCCAGCCATGCATGCTCTGAACGTTAACACTATAGGATGGTCATATTAGGGGTCAGGACAGCTGCCGATTTCGCTGGGAACTCTTATAATATAACACGCGTAAACTAGCTCAGTCTTGAAATGCAATTCTTTCACACAGTTATTTTGCAATCAAAATTCTGTAACTTTCACTGAGCTGTGCAGTTCTTGAGCACTTATACACCAGGCACACTGCCATTAGATCGCATCGCAACTTCTTTTTTGTCAAGAATTTTTTGTTAGACTATATACATGTTTGATTTTAGTAGAGTTAAATGCACTTCGCTTGGTATATAACAGGCTCCTAGATATTAAATTGTGGGAATTTGGCGATGACTGCTGTTAACTGATCCTTGGAATAGCACCAATACTCGACCATCGACCACAATGGATGCTGACTCATCGCGCTTGCTCTTCGTAGTAAGCTAGGACCGGTCATCCAATTTACATGTCTAGACCGTTGATCACGCCAGGAGCTGATCATAGTTGATCTTCGCAAACCGAGCCAGCCATGCGTACTTTGAACATTAACACAATAGGATGGTCATACATTAGGGGTCAGGAATTTGCTGGGATTGATACATTGCTCAGATCATGCCAGAATTGCAATTTATACAAGTGACCTTCATATTCTGAAAAGAAGTCAAAATGAGAGATACGACGATTCTCACTTTATCTTTTTCTATTCTGACCAAAATATCAAAGCTGCTAATCGCACGCCGCATTCAAGATCGAAAGCATTTATAATAGAACAAGTTTTGGTCAAACTAACAAGCTAAAAAAATATTCAGGACACATTTCAAAAAAGAGAATACCTCCATATGTTTTCATTGACTTCATTGAAAAATTCGATGCTTGGTTGCATTTATGGAAGAATTTGAGTTTTGTTCTACAAACAAATATGGCGAACAAGTACTGGTCTCACTCAAAAGACGGTTGAACGAATTCTATGAAGGGACGTTTCAAAGGATATTTTCCCTCAACAATCTGCTAGAGACTCAATGAGAAATGCCCATTTGAGAGAATTCCTTGAAGAGAAATTCAACGTTGAAGAAAAGCGGTGTACAAGTTCCTTCATTACAAAGGAGCTGGTACACTTCTACAGATATACAGGGTGTCCCAAAAAAATGTTTAAAACGTTTGATCGTTAATATCTCTCTTCCCAAGAAGTCTTTTGCCTTGCTTCAGGTACCGTTTTGTAGAGCTGGCTTCAACTTAGATTTCCATTATAGAACGAATCACCCATCTCTCTTCATTACTGTAGGGTTACGGTAGAAACTTCAAAGAGGGTTTTGAACCTGTAAAGTTCCCAACTTATTATGATGCTTCAATGAAGAGTTATGCCAGGTGAGAGGTAGCGGCCTTTTTTTCAATGTTCCTAAAAAGTGCAATTACACCGTTTAAAAAGCTTCGCAATCTTGTGAATAGTTGAGTATTGAACTCAGCGTCTATAAAAACCCTATTACACAAGTTTTCACAATTTTTTGAAAGATTTTGAAACGGCAGCTTTCTCCACATTGCCACCATATGTTTCAAGTTTCTACCGTAATCCTACAGTAATGAAGAGGGATGGGTGATTCGTTCTATAATGGAAATCTAAGTTGAAGCCAGCTCTACAAAACGGTACCCGAAGCAAGGCAAAAGACTTCTTGGGAAGAGAGATATTAACGATCAAACGTTCGAAACATTTTTTTGGGCACCCTGTATTTCGCGATTCAGCTTTTTCCTTTACCTAAATATCTGACGTTGAAAATTTTATGAGAACTCCTACTTTTTCACGAACAATTGCTACACGCAAGTTCAGTCTATCTGGATAAACACTCGGCAATTTCTACAGCAGAATTTTACAGAAGGCATCTTATAGTCGATCTTCATGTATTCCTGAATACTTATATTTGAATTTTCAGAATTTTGCAACTGCAAACTTTTGTTACGCTGGGAAGTTCACTTAAACGGTTTTCAGGATTGGCCACTTTTACACAAAAAATCTTCCGTGGTTTTGAATAAAAACCGAACATTTGAAAAATTCTACTTCTGCCTCGAGAAATTGAGGCTTGCAAACTGTGGTCCCGCGGGTACCTGAATAGTTTGTAGGCAGTGGCGTACCGAGGGGGGGGGGGCCCCCCCCCCGAGAATGGGTCGTCAAATTTTTGAAAGTTACTTGTATGGGTTATAAAAATGTGCAAGTGACTTGTTTATATTTGTAAATAATTAAAATAATTTTTAAATATTTTTAAAAATTCAAATTAGCTTTGTAAAAAAATTTTTTTTCGGGGGTGTGGCTGACGCCACGCCCCCTTTTTCCAGATTCTAGGGGTTGGGGGCCGCAAAAATTTTGAAAAGCACCCCTAAAATTTTTTCGGAGTGCGTGGCTAACGCCACGCACCGTCATTTGAAAAAAAAATTTTGTCGCGCCCCCCCCCCCCCCGAGCGGAAATCCTGGGTACGCCACTGTTTGTAGGGTAGGTCACTTTTACACAAAAGATCTCTCCTGATAATTTTTCAAACAGATCGAAGAATTAGAAAATCCATTTTGTAATCCGAGCATAAAAATCGAAGACATTGAAAAAATTGCACTCCTGCGCCCAAAACTCTACCGCTTGCAAACTTTGGTCCCGCGGGTACCCGAGTAGTCTGTAGGGTAGGTCACTTTTACACAAAAGATCTCTCTTGATAATTTTTCAAACAGATTGAAGACATTAGAAAATCCATTTTCTAATCCGAGCATAAAAATCGAAGACAATGGAAAAATTATACTTCTGCGCCCAAAACTCTACCGCTTGCAAACTGTGGTCCCGCGGGTACCCGAGTGGTTTGTAGGGACGGTCCTACAGATCGAAGATATTTGGCATTCCTTCTGCTACGTGCATGAGATTCGAATACATTGGAAAACTTTACTTCCGCGCCTAAAACTCTACCGTTTGCAAACTGTGGTCCCGCGGGTACGTGAATAGTTTGCAGGGTAGGTCACTTTTACACAAAAGATCTCTCCTGATAATTCTTCAAACAGATCGAAGACATTAGAAAAATACATTTTCTAATCCGAGCATAAAAATCGAAGACATTGAAAAAATTGTACTTCTGCGCCCAAAACTCTACCGCTTGCAAACTGTGGTCCCGCGGGTACCCGAGTGGTTTGTAGGGACGGTCCTACAGATCGAAGATATTTGGCATTCCTTCTGCTCCGTGCATGAGATTCGAATACATTGGAAAAACTTTACTTCCGCGCCTAAAACTTTACCGTTTGCAAACTGTGGTCCCGCGGGTACCTGAATAGTTTGCAGGGTAGGTCACTTTTACACAAAAGATCTCTCCTGATAATTCTTCAAACAGATCGAAGACATTAGAAAAATACATTTTCTAATCCGAGCATAAAAATCGAAGACATTGAAAAAATTGTACTTCTGCGCCCAAAACTCTACCGCTTGCAAACCTTTATCCCGCGGGTACCCGAGTAGTTTGTAGGCTCGGCCACTTTTACGCAAAAGACTTCTCGCAGTAATTTTTCCTACAGATCGAAGATATTTGGCATTCTTTCTGCTCCATGCATAAAATTTGAATACATTGGAAAAACTCTACTTCTGCCTCAAGAACACTGCAAACTGTGGTCCCGCGGGTACCTGAATAGTTTGTAGGGTAGGTCACTTTTACACAAAAGACTTCTCGCAATAAATTTCATTACAGATCGGAGATATTCGCATTCTATTTTTGCTCCGAGCATGAAAATCGAAGACATTTGAAACTTTTACTTCTGCGCTCGAAAGTCTACCGCTTGCAAACTTTGGTCCCGCGGCTACCCGAGTAGTTTGTATGGTAGGTCACACTAAAATTTGGAAACTAAGGTATCTCGCTCACTACTGGAAATCGTCGAACTGTAAGTACTATTTGCTCATTTATTAGGTTGGTGCAAAAATAATGTTCGTTTTGAAAAGTTTTAATTTGAAAAGTTTTAACTTTGCTCGGTCCTCCTATTTTTGAACATAGTCAAGAATTCGAAAGTAGCAAGCCTCGCATAACTTAGCGCGCACCTGCTCATACTGATAGTGCAAACGGGAAAAGAACCATGCGTCAAAAACCAAAAGGTTCTCTTTTAAAGTCCTCGTTTTTGAAACCTTACAACTCCTTCAAGTTTTGTTCCTATGACTGGTAATCAGCTCTTTTTGTAGCAGCAAGCCAGTAGTATACGTATGTACAGGGAACACCTCGTCAAAAGAGTTTTGCGAAAAGAAAAGATAAAGCTTCAACATTGCCCATCTTTTTGAGCCTCTTTGTGGTAGGCTTGAAAGTCCCAAATCATGAAAATTTGGAATTCTTCATGCGCTTTATAGCTGAGTTTCTCTGCAAAAATTGAGAGCAAGATATACTAATCTCAAGCTTACAGAAATAAGCGAAACTTCTTCGATTGCCTTATCATGGGAAATTTTTGACTAATAGAATGCCAGCAGCAAGTATTTATGTTGGGGGCGTCAATTTCTCAATACAGATATTCTCGAAAAACCTACTTAAACACATGCATTGAGTAAGCCACATTTATCCCCTACAGATGCTATGTTTTCAAAAGAATTCGTTCGTTTACGAATGAATTGTGACCAAGGAAGTCAAAGCAATGAAATTTCGATGCGAGATGCTGGTGAAATTCTCACGAATGAGGTAGACCCTTAATCTCATCGCTATTGGAAAGTACATGAAGAAAGCTTCCCAATGTTTTGCGAAATTTATATCAAAAAAGAAATTTCGAAGAAGGGAAGATAAAAAGATGAAAAAAGAAATTTTTTGCACTCTATGTGATTCTAGGGAAGAGAGTTTCGCGCTACTTCTGGCGAGAAGTTCTCTGAGTTTCAATACTTTGAATTCCTGACAATCACTGGAACTTTAAGAAAACACTATCCTGCTCCCCGAATTCAAATGTGCAATTCTTTTTCTTGTTGGAAAAGACCTGACAATTTCTACGACAATGCACGTTTAACGAAATATCTTTCGCAGCTTTTCATGAGTTTTTCAAATAGTTTGAAGTAATTCTATATATCCTTCCAAAGCTGCAAATTGTACACTTTGATCTCGCTAGACATTTGGTTATGAATTTCCGAAAAGCCTCGTCTCTGAGGAGTACCACATTGAAGGCAGTGTCCAAGCAAAAAGTCGATTTTGAGATTTTGTGCTTATCCGGACCTATTCGCCATGCTGAACCCGATAAATCACATTGGAAAGCGCGAAAACGACGCAAAAAGGCCCTAACGCCGGAGGGAAATCGGAGGTGGGCGAGGCCGTCCACACAGCGACGTCACTCTCCCAGGCTTTAGGAGCGATCTTCTCGGTTTCGATCTTATGTCATGCATTTCGCAGTCGTCTGGTGGTGATGATAGGGCGACTAGCAAAAGCGAGAAGATCGCCCGTGAAGCTGGGAGAGTGACGCCACTATGTGAGCAGCCCCGCCCACCTGCAATTTCCCTCCTCCGTTAGAGCTTTTTTTCGTCGTTTTTGCGCTCTCCGCTGTTGATTTTCGGATTCAGCATAGCGAATAGGCCCAGGTAAGCACAAAATCTCGAAATCGACTTTTTGCTTGGACACGACACTGCCTTTAAGTAATCCTAATTTCACACCCAGCAGTGAGCAGATTCTGGCTAAATGACTGCTCAATGATGACTGAGACAGGATACTGTTATAGAGAATAATTTAGCGGCAGTCTTCAGAATGTGAGATTAACTTGAAGTTTTTCATGCCACGCAGGTTTGTTGAGAAAGAAATGCCAGATTTTACGAACAAAGAACACACGAAATACGTAAAATTAGTTTCTGAATGTTTACATTTTGACGATAATTCTGTAGCTACAGAAAAAGCGATGTGCAAGCTTTAGTCGAATATCATGTTTGGCGCTTTTTCGGCTGAGAGGCACACCATTAGAAGATGAGCTGCGTTTCGGCTCGGATCAGATGTGCTACATAATGGATGATTGGTGGTGATTTTGAATATGAAAAAATGGATCCAGCTCTTGCTAAGATGCTTTTGCAGTAAGAACAACAAAGGTTGAATTATAGCTATTTACTCATTGCTTAATGCCTATTTCTTTGAAAGTACGGTATTGTGGCAACAGTCTCGAACTCCTATTTTATCACATTAGGTGAAAACAATCGTCAAATTGATAGATCTGTTTGTTGTAACTCATAGTCGCAAGAATGCTGCAGCTTCAAATGTATCTGCCCCAACTCAACTTGCTAGCGACCCGTAGGGTCGCTAGTCGTTTAAAAATTACAAGAACTCCCTAAACATAAAAAATTTGTTTTCCTGCCCGATCGGGTTGCCCTACGTGCCGCTTGAAGACCGTTCAAAAATTACAAGAACTCCCCAAACATAAAAAATTTGTTTCCCTGCCCGATTGGGTTGCCCTACGTGCCGCTTACAGACCGATAGTAACTATTTAAAAATAAAGTTTATTCCCTACGTGCCGCTTGAAGACCGTTCAAAAATTACAAGAACTCCCCAAACATAAAAAAATCTGTTTCCCTGCCCGATCGGGTTGCCCTACGTGCCGCTTACAGACCAATATTATCTATCTAAAAGACAGTTCATGCCCTACGTGCCGCTTGAAGACCGCTCAAAAATTACAACTGCCCCAAACATAAAAAAAATCTGTTTCCCTGCCCGTTTGGGTTGCCCTACGTGCCGCTTACAGACCGATAGTAACTATTCAAAAATAAAGTTTACATTATATTATTATACATTTTGTATTCCCTACGTGCCGCTTGAAGACCGTTCAAAAATTACAAGAACTCCCCAAACATAAGAAAATCTGTTTCCCTGCCCGATCGGGTTGCCCTACGTGCCGCTCACAAACCAATATTGTCTATCTAAAAGACAGTTCATGCCCTACGTGCCCCTTGAAGACCGTTCAAAAATTATAAAAACTGCCCCAAACATACAAAAATCTGTTTCCCTGCCCGATCGGGTTGCCCTACGTGCCGCTTGAAGACCGTTCAAAAATTACAACTGCCCCAAACATAAAAAAATGTTTCCCTGCCCGATTGGGTTGCCCTAGGTGCCGCTTACGACAGTTCATGCCCTACGTGCCGCTTGAAGACCGCTCAAAAATTACAACTGCCCCAAACATAAAAAATTCTGTTTCCCTGCCCGTTTGGGTTGCCCTACGTGCCGCTTACAGACCGATAGTAACTATTCAAAAATAAAGTTTACATTATATTATTATACATTTTATATTCCCTACGTGCCGCTTGAAGACCGTTCAAAAATTACAAGAACTCCCCAAACATAAGAAAATCTGTTTCCCTGCCCGATCGGGTTGCCCTACGTGCCGCTCACAAACCAATATTGTCTATCTAAAAGACAGTTCATGCCCTACGTGCCCCTTGAAGACCGTTCAAAAATTATAAAAACTGCCCCAAACATACAAAAATCTGTTTCCCTGCCCGATCGGGTTGCCCTACGTGCCGCTTACAGACCGATAGTAACTATTTAGAAATAAAGTTTATTCCCTACGTGCCGCTTGAAGACCGTTCAAAAATTACAACTGCCCCAAACATAAAAAAAATCTGTTTCCGGGCCCGTTTGGGTTGCCCTACGTGCCGCTTACAGACCGATAGTAACTATTCAAAAAGATTATTCCCTACGTGCCGCTTGAAGACCGTTTAAAAATTACAAGAACTCCCCAAACATAAAAAAATCTGTTTCCCTGCCCGATTGGGTTGCCCTACGTGCCGCTTACAGACCGATAGTAAATATTCGAAAATAAAGTTTATTCCCTACGTGCCGCTTGAAGATCGTTTAAAAATTACAACTGCCCCAAACATAAAAAAAATCTGTTTCCGGGCCCGTTTGGGTTGCCCTACGTGCCGCTTACAGACCGATAGTAACTATTCAAAAAGATTATTCCCTACGTGCCGCTTGAAGATCGTTTAAAAATTACAAGAACTCCCTAAACATAAAAAATTTGTTTTCCTGCCCGATCGGGTTGCCCCACGTGCCGCTTACAAACCAATATTATCTATCTAAAAGACAGTTCATGCCCTACGTGCCGCTTGAAGACCGTTTAAAAATTACAAGAACTCCCCAAACATAAAAAATTTGTTTCCCTGCCCGATTGGGTTGCCCTACGTGCCGCTTACAGACCGATAGTAACTATTTAAAAATAAAGTTTATTCCCTACGTGCCGCTTGAAGACCGTTCAAAAATTACAAGAACTCCCCAAACATAAAAAATTTGTTTCCCTGCCCGATTGGGTTGCCCTACGTGCCGCTTACAGACCAATATTATCTATCTAAAAGACAGTTCATGCCCTACGTGCCGCTTGAAGACCGTTCAAAAATTACAAGAACTGCCCCAAACATAAAAAATTTGTTTCCCTGCCCGATCGGGTTGCCCTACGTGCCGCTTACAGACCGATAGTAACTATTTAAAAATAAAGTTTATTCCCTACGTGCCGCTTGAAGACCGTTCAAAAATTACAACTGCCCCAAACATAAAAAAATCTGTTTCTCTGCCCGATCGCTTTTCTTTACCAAAACTGTGACAGTTTCCTCTCTTGCACAGCAAACCTGCAGAGAATACAGTGCCTAAACATCTCTCATCTCAGATCTCAGTAAAATAAAAACAATCTCGAATGAGAAGAATCCAGAACAACAGTTATTGGAAGAAATTCTAGAATAGACGGGGAAATTGGAACAGTTCCTAGGATGGTCAAAACTGCAGACGTGAAAAATAATGACGATATCGATCGAAAACACGCCCGAAACATGCCGTTATGCATGTGTGTTGTTTCAGTTGCCCATACTTACGAAATTTGGCACCGTTCCAAAGGCTTACGAAAATCTGGCAGCGTGCCAACTGACTTACTCACCGCTAATGGCAGCAATCCAATTCCAAAGATCAGTGTATTTCATCATAATTTTTACGTCTGCGCCCTCCTCGTTTGCCATAATCCAACTATCAGAGGATTATTGCGTAAGCAACGAATTCGTTATATATTACGTAGTGACTAGCGACCCTACGGGTCGCTAGCAAGTGGGTCGGGGCAGATACAATATAAGGGCTTAGTTGTGACTATAAATACTTCTTAAGTTTCCTATTCCTTTCCTGAGAACTTTTTTGCGAAAAGCATTAAAAGGAGAACTGCTCGAAGAAGCGATAATCTCCACAAATCGTTCAGCATTTCTCGAAATTCCTGCTACAACAATGCATGGAGAATATTATTTTCCTCTCGTTTACCACGCTCTTTCTGCAGATTTCCTCTCCTCTCAGAGATATTCAGATGACCTCCCCCCCCCCCCCAGTTTTCTACCCTCTCAAAGAGAATTTGCTCTTCCAGTTCTTCTCAACAAGTTCCATAAAAGATCGTTGAGTAAGTAGCAGAACACCTACAGTTTTGTAGAAATACACCCATAACAACTATGTGTACTATGATAAACACTTTTCTCTCAGAATCAACGACAGCTACTAAATCAACCGTGCAAAGGCTTTTTCAGAGAATCCCTCAATTTTTTCGCCAAAGGAATATGAAGTTTTATTACAAAAGGAGATCACTCCCCGAAAAGCACACTACTGAGCCAACTAAAGACCGTCAATTAACATATAAAAAATTTGTTTCCCTGCCCGATCGAGTTGCCCTACGTGCCGCTTATAGACCGATAGTAACTATTCAAAAAAGAAATTTATGCCCTATGTGCCGCTTGAAGACCGTTTGAAAATTACAAGAACTGCCCCAAGCACACAAGAATCTGTTTCCCTGCCCGATCGAGTTGCCCTACGTGCCGCTTACAGACCGATAGTAACTATTCAAAAAAGAAATTCTTGCCCTATGTGCCGCTTGAAGACCATTCAAAAATTATAAGTGCCGCTTACAGACCGATAGTAAGTATTCACAAAGGAAGTTTATGCCCTATGTGCCGCTTGAAGACCGTTCAAAAATTATAAGATCTGCCCCAAACGTACAAAAATTTATTTCCCTGCCCGATCGAGTTGCCCTACGTGCCGCTTACAGACCGATAGTAAGTATTCAAAAAGGAAATTGCCCTATATGCCGCTTGAAGACCGTTTGAAAATTGTAAAAACTGCCCCAAACACACAAGAACTGTTTCCCTGCGCGATCGAGTTGCCCTACGTGTCGCTTACAGACCGATAGTAACTATTCAAAAAAGAAATTTATGCCCTATGTGCCGCCTGAAGACCGTTTGAAAATTACAAGAATTGCCCCAAACACACAAAAATCTGTTTCCCTGCCCGATCGAGTTGCCCTACGTGTCGCTTACAGACCGATAGTAAGTATTCAGAAAGGAAATTGCCCTATGTGCCGCTTGAAGACCGTTCAAAAATTATAAGCCCCAAACGCCCAAAAAAATCTGCCCCAAACGTACAAAAATTTATTTCCCTGCCCGATCGAGTTGCCCTACGTGCCGCTTACAGACCGATAGTAAGTATTCAAAAAGGAAATTGCCCTATATGCCGCTTGAAGACCGTTTGAAAATTGTAAAAACTGCCCCAAACACACAAGAACTGTTTCCCTGCGCGATCAAGTTGCCCTACGTGTCGCTTACAGACCGATAGTAACTATTCAAAAAAGAAATTTATGCCCTATGTGCCGCTTGAAGACCGTTTGAAAATTACAAGAATTGCCCCAAACACACAAAAATCTGTTTCCCTGCCCGATCGAGTTGCCCTACGTGCCGCTTACAGACCGATAGTAACTATTCAAAAAAGAAATTTATGCCCTATGTGCCGCTTGAAGACCGTTTAAAAATTACAAGAATTGCCCCAAACACACAAAAATCTGTTTCCCTGCCCGATCGAGTTGACGTGCCGCTTACAGACCGATAGTAACTATTCAAAAAAGAAATTTATGCCCTATGTGCCGCTTGAAGACCGTTTAAAAATTACAAGAATTGCCCCAAACACACAAAAATCTGTTTCCCTGCCCGATCGAGTTGACGTGTCGCTTACAGACCGATAGTAACTATTCGAAAAAGAATTTTATGTCCTATGTGCCGCTTGAAGACCGTTTGAAAATTACAAGAATTGCCCCAAACACACAAAAATCTGTTTCCCTGCCCGATCGAGTTGACGTGTCGCTTACAGACCGATAGTAACTATTCAAAAAAGAAATTTATGCCCTATGTGCCGCTTGAAGACCGTATATATAAGAAAAACCAACTACGACTCATACAAAAAAAAACAACGAATTCCAGTATTTACAGCGTATTCTCAAATTGCCGTACATGTCACTTTAGGACTTCCAAGTCTGAGAAATGCCCCAAACGCACAGAAATCTTTTTCCCTGCCCGATCGAATTGCCCTAGGTGCCGCTTACACGCCGATACCTAGTTCAAGCACCAGCGGGACCCAGTTACACAAGCAAAGCAAGGTTGTTGTTAAATAAACGCTTTCAAAAGTACCAGCGAGGCCAAGTTACTCACGCCTCTCTTGTCTACACGCGGAAGCAAAATAATTCCAAAGTGACTGTTCTTAGTTAGAGCATTTTTACCAAGAGTTGAGAATATAGATAAATTCAGCTCAAGTCAAGCTGTTCGCAATTTGGCATCATTTCAAAAGTACCTAACAGGAATACAACACATTTGAAAGACACATTGTAGGATAACAAGCTCGAAAAAGTAACAATCCGGACACTGGCGACCCATTCTCAAAATCATTGCGACACTCATGATTGCCTTTCGAAATACGTGTGACCCTTTTACGAAAATATGCTTGGTCACTCGTTTTGAAATTTGGCAGCGTTCCAAAACGCATGCCACTTGGCAGCAATCCAATTCCAAAGATCAGTGTATTTCATCATAATTTTTACGTCTGCGCCCTCCTCGTTTGCCATAATCCAACTATCAGAGGACTATTGCGTAATCAACGAATTCGTTATATATTACGTAGTGATTTTTGACAAGTCATAAGAATTTGGATATTGGTAAATCAATATATGGTGTAGCTTCAACCGGTAGTAAGTGCAATAGAGAATAACTTGAAAGGATAGATCCGTAGGGACTGAAAAACGAGATACCGACTAGTCAGCCTTATTTTTCGGTGAACTTTTATGACCATTATGGATTTTTTATCGACTAGAAAGCTCTTTTTTTTAATCAGGAAATGTTAAGATGTTGATAAATCACTACTCTGACGCTTGCAAATAAGCGAGATTGGGCAAGAGTTTTGAATAAGAAAGTGAATTCGAAGAAATTTTAGATTTGAACGTGCCCATCGGGAATTATGAAATTTCATCGGATGAGGCTGGAAGCGTGTGTAAATGCGCGCCAGAAGGGCCAAGAAAAGAGTTTTTCGATAATGTACGCAAATCCCTTACAAGAAAGAAAACAAAATGGAAAAAGGTGAATATAGTACGTGTAAGCCCAAGGCATACCTCATGCTATTTCAGTAGCTGCGAGATTCGGAACGCAACGACTCACCATCATTGGGCGCAAAAGAGCTTTGGTGGGGCATTTGAGGCATTTGGGACGGAGTACAAACGCTACGCCTATGCATATAAGACTGCGGAAGGTAAATCCGTAAAGATCTGGCTCAAAATGCCCAAGTCGCGGTGTCAGCGATTTGAAGGAATTTCTGGAGGTATGCCTGGGCCTGATGCGGATTAATGATTAAAATGTATTAGGTTGGTCCGAAAGTTCTTGCGCATCATGTTCAAAAAATCATAACTTCCTTGACACTCGATGGATTTCGTTGGGATTACATGTATTCGAAAGAGGAATCCATGCTCTTTACAGCTGTACCTCCGGCATGAATTACTCTGGAAAACTTCAAGAGTTAGAAGCAGTTGAATAAAATCAGTCAAGATTGACATTTTTCGAGCTGGGTCACGAAAAATTCTCAAAGTATTTTTATTTGATAGAGAAAATTATGCTCATTACAATGGTACCTTTTTCATGAGTTAAAACGAAAAAGATCGAGAGTTAGAAGCAAATAAAGGAAATTACTTCAGTTTTGTAATTTTTGAGCATGCTCAAAAAAGCCTTAAAACGTCACAGAAAAGGCGGGAATGTCACGAATATGGGTTTTGTGACATTCCCTTTCTAGATGAGCGAAAATCGTGCCAATCGGGAGCAATTTTGTTTTTCGTGATTTTTTCGGATTTTCGTGCCTGCGTTTTTCACGAAAATCAAAATTGCTCTCGATTAGCACGATTTTCATTCATCTAGAAAGAGAAGGTCATAAAACCCATGTTTATGACTTTCCCGCCTTTTCTGTGACGTTCTTAGGCTTTTTTGAGCATGCTCAAAAATTGCAAAACTGAAGAAATTCTGTTTATTTGCTCCTAACTATCGATCTTTTTCGTTTTAATTCATGAAAAAGGTACCATTGTAATGAGCATAATTTTCTCTATCAAATAAAAATACTTTGAGAATTTTTCGTGACCCAGCTCGAAAAATGCCAATCTTGACTGATTTTATTCAACTGCTTCTAACTCTTGAAGTTCTCCAGAGTAATTCGTGGCAGAGGCACTGCTGTAAAGAGCATGGATTCCTCTTTCGAATACATGTAAATACAACGAAATCCACCAACTGTCAAGGAAGTTATGATTTTTTGAAAATGATGCGCAAGAACTTTCGGACCAACCTAATATATCAGCCAGCATTTTGGTAGTCCACATTAGACAGGTGGAACTTGAGGCATATTTTCATCAATAGATGATGCTGCTTGAAACGGGACTGATGATGATGATGATGCTTCAAACGGGACTCAAGCTATTCAAATTCTCGACAAACCTGATTGCTGTCGACGCTTTGAATGGATAATCGCTGAGAGTCAAGCGATGACGTCTCTTCGTTGTCCACGGAATCCTTTGATGATCGTGCTGACACGGAAGGTGCAGATGAAGAACTTCCAGAAGGTGGTACGCCCTCCAAACCCACACCAAGATCTGGAAAGAAAGTTGTTCCAAGTGCACTTCAGTTTACGAGAAAGACAAATGCATGGCATTAGCAAAAGGACTTACTAAGTGGTAGCAATGCTTGAGTAAGTTCACGAATTCGCTTTATCCACATTATTTTGACTTCTTCCTTTGGTTGTGGAGCACTCCTCAAATCAATGCGATTTTCGTTGCTAGCAACAGTCCCAACCTAAGCAGATGCAATGTGTTATGCGATTAGAAGATCCACTTCGAAAGAACTTACACGAAGACCGAAACGACACGCATCTCCTTCGACATGCTCCACGACGGATACATCCACCAGCTGTAAGTAAACATAATAATGGGCTACGAGTTGTATGCGTGCTTCTGTTTGTTTGTCTCACAAAATACGTGGAGCATGTTGCAGCCTAAATTCCGAACCAAATTCTTCTAAAAAATGCACTACCAGCATGTGGGTCCTTCGTGGGCAGAGATGAACGACGTATCCTAGTGCGCCGTGAGCACGCGAGTCAAAACCCACATGGCTTTCCCAGAAAACAGAACCTGCACTCATATTTTTTTGCTGACATGAATTTGATTGCCAAAGAATCTGTAAGCCATGGACTAATGACACGATAATCAAAGAAAAACTATTTTTGCATGAAAGCGGCGCCAGAGATGGCAAAAGGAAATCCGCTTAGAGGTGTGCTTATACATCGGTTGTTGCTGCTGCAAGAACCAAGCCATTAAATATTATTGACTGCTCTATGTATTTTACACCCGATTTTTTCCCACTCAAGGTTGCCAAGTATTATGAACAATTTTACAAAAATGAGGGTTTGCGGGTCATTAATGACGGTCGCCATCGTGATATCAATGGCTATCTTTGCAGCATACGCAAAATAGCAATCCCAAGGACCTCGAGCTGGGCACACAGCTGCGCGTCTGCCGCGGTGACCAACGTTATCAGCTCCTTCCTCTCTTCTCCTCCATATCGAGCAGGACAAACAATGAAGAACACCGCGTAAAATACTTTACCAGTTTAAGAAAAAATGAAAGACACATTGCGTTTGTAGAGTAGGCAATCCTCTTTCCTGATTCTTGCTAACAGGCTTTTCCGTTACACTGATCTCCACCATCTTCGCGACTGCAAGTTGGTGTACATGGGCCTTTCCGAAGAGCTCTGAGTTGAAGACGGAAATGAAGACATGGCTAGCCAAGGTTGAAAAGGAGTGGCAGGATCCTACAGAGGACAGCCGCTAGCATGCGACAAAGTAAAATTCACTTTGAATGCGTACGAGCCAGTGCATTTGCGATCCCTCAACGTAAATTTTATCCTTGAGATACCTTGAGGTATAGACAATTGCTTGGCCATACCTTATGAATACGGGTTTGTGCTTGCAAGGTATATTTACTTCAAGGTATGTTGTTGAGTACGGCTATTTATTGAAGACTTCTTGAACTTGAATTCCTACTTTTGAATGACGACTCAAAACTGCTGCTCTTAAGCAAGTGATGACTACTTCTGCACTTGAGAAGAAACTACACATCTTCACGCTATATAGAACACCTGAACTCCTCTCATTGACACTGTTTTTGCAATAGTAGCAAAGAGCGATGATAAATAAAGCTGCGGATGTTAGAACAGAATCCAAGCTTCTGACTGCGATAGCCAGCACAAGCATCTTGGGAGGATAGCTGATATTGAGTATGCATCAAAAATTCAGCCGCTATGAAGAGGATAAATGGTGGGCAAGCAAGTCCTAAGCACGACAAGATTCAAGGGAATATTTCAACAAAGATAACGCGTCTGCTAGTTGAGATGTCCAATACATACGTAAGATATACTTTCAAGGAACGTCCGCGGCTGAACCGACTGCCTTAGAAGCTGACGAACGGCTTACGAACAGCTTCCAACGATTTGCCATACGCTATGCCTAACAGAGAAAACAATGGGAGCACCCAAGCTTCTACGCTGGGCCAGTGTAGCCTAAAATAATTCCAAGGGACTGCCGCTGATGAAAAGGCATCTCAAGCGTAGTGAATATTTGAGTAGACGCACTCGCAAAGGACAAACCATATGTTTTGTGTAGAGATGAATGACGAAACTGGCGTCTTCTCTTCTCGGAGGAAAGTAAAAGAAGGAAACCAAGATAATTTGTATCACATCAAGAATCTTGGCAACGAACAGCTTCTGCTTCACTTCGCCTACAAAAACACGACAAAGCAAACTTCTGTATAAGTTAGACCTCAAAGAAAGAAGAAGATGTGCTCGCTAAAGCCTTGCCAGAGTTGTTTCAGGAACACATGTGTGAAAGCGGTGTTCTCATTTTCTAAAGCTACTAGTTCAGGCAAGCTATTCCAAGAAAGAGAATGCACTAGGAGGAGCATTCGCTGCTTCAGAAGAAATGGCTGAAAACGAAGAAACACTCACGGGTATAGGTTTTCCCTTGATTATGTATTTAACATTCTTTGGCGTAAGTTCCACCTTCTTAGCTATCACTATCGCTTGTTCGAACAAGAAGACCTAGAAAAAAAAACTAAAATTTGATTCAACATTCAAAAAAACTTCACGTACCTGACGCTCTTTCCCTTTTGCTTTGTTGAAGTAATTTCGAGGCTCCCAAACCGTCAACAGATCTTGCATAACAAAGGGTCCGACCACTCCGAGCTTGAATAACCATTATTTAGTTTTCGCTCATGAATCCAAACTCAGGTTTTGATCAAACAGTGGCGCGATAATTGCAAAAATAGCTGGGAAAGTAGAGGGTAAAGCCGCTGATATGCAAACTTTATTATCATTACAAGACTGTATTGGTGCCATATCACTAGCTGTATTGTCGTGCCAGACGCTGTAAAAAAATATTTTTCAACAGTAAATTTATCCATGTATTAGGTTGTCCGGAAATTAATGCAGGTTTCTGCAAATGCAATTCCAAAAGAATCGTTCTTCTGTGTATGTGCATCTTTCGATCAATTTCGCATACTATAAGAAGCCGCTCTTCATGCTCTCTCTTATCTACAGGGTGTCCCAAAATAATGTGCACACTGTTTGATTTTGAATAACTCTCTTATTATGAGATCTTTCGAGAAGCGGTAAGTGCCATTTTGTAGAGCTGGCTTCAACTTAGATTTGCAGTATAGAGCGAATCACTCATTTCTTTTCATTACAGTAGGATTACGGTAGAAACTTGAAAGAGGGTTTTGGGCCATAAAAGGCCATATTTTGCCTCAGAAAGGAATCAAAGCAGCCTGAAAACCTTTACACCAGTGGCGTACCGAGGGGGGGGGGCGGGGGGGGCGCGCGCCCCCCCCGAGAATGGGTCGCGAAATTTTTGAAAGTTACTTACATGAGTTATAAAAATGTGCAAGAGACTTATTTATACTTGTATGTAATTAAAATAATTTTTAAAATTTTTAAAAATTCAATTTAGCCTTATAAAAAAAATTTTTTCGGGGGCGTGGCTGACGCCACGCCCCCTTTTTCCAAAATTTTGGGGTTCTGGGCCCGCGAAAATTCCAAGAAGGGTACCAAAAATTTTTTCTGGGTGCGTGGCTAACGCCACGCACCTTCTTCAGAAAAAAATTTTTGTCGCGCCCCCCCCGAGCCGAAATCCTGGGTACGCCACTGCTTTACACTAGGCCAATTAGAGTTGCTGATTCTAACGTAAAGTTCCCAACTTATAATGGTGCTTCACTGAAGAGTTATGCGAGGTAAGCAGTAGCGGCCATTTTCTCAATGTTCCTAAAAAGTGCGGTTACACCGTTTAAAAAGCTTCGCAATCTTGAGAATAGTTGAGTATTGAACTCAGCGTCCCTAAAAACCCTATTACACAAGTTTTCACATCCTTTTGAAAACTTTTGAAACGGCAGCTTTTTCCGCAGTGACACCATATGTTCCAAGTTTCTACCGTAATCCTACAGTAATGAAGAGCGGTCGGTGATTCGCTCTGTACTGTAAATCTAAGTTAAAGCCAGCTCTACAAAATGGCGCTTACCGCTTCTCGAAAGACCTCATGATAAGAGAGTTATTCAAAATCAAACAGTGTGCACATTATTTTGGGACACCCTGTATAATACTTCTAGACCAACTTCATTTGTTCAAAATCTACAACCATACGAAGATGAAGTTTTAAATTACTAAAATTACCCTTTGCACTATTTTGGCTTGAGCTTATTCGGCAAAAGGGATATTTCCATGATAATAAAGCTGAAGCAAGAAATTGAGTACCTACAAAATGGATAGTAGCGTTTCTTTGGAACAATTATGAAAGTAGAGAAATTAAGGCTTTAACATGAATAATTGTCGCGGCCACTCTATGGCGTGAAAAAATTTTTTAAAGAAAGCAACCGTGAAAGTCCCTCCTTGTGCTTGAAGAGTAAGGCCAGGGCCGTCAGATATTATCTCAACTGGTACCTCCCAGGCTTTATTTTTGGTGTATTAATAAAAAAAAATCAAAACTGTCGGAGATCGCAGCCGTGAAGGAAATGTCGAAAAAATGGAAAACTTTGATTCCGCAAATTTTTCTTTCGCAGAAAATTTCTAAAAAATTTTCTACATAGCTATGTATGTAGTGCTGGTCTGTGGCTATAAGCTGCAGAAGTTTCTGGCTGAACACTCATATTCGGTAGGAGTTTACAACCAGCCAAGTATGACCCTGTCAAAGAAATCTCATTTTACTCTCTGGCCTTCAGTAATTTGCTTGCTGGAGCTACAGTTACAAAAGAAAAAGCCGCAAATAGAAAAAGACATGCTGGTCACAGCAGTTTTTACCTCATTTCAAAATATACGATTCTAAAGGAGTTATGACGCTTTGAAGTGAGAATATGCAAAACCTGCATTAATTTTCGGACAACCTAATAAAAGGCGACGATGTACATAAATCTAACAAGGAAAGGATATTAGTGCCATGGCATTTTGAAGTGAAGCGTACAATATTAAATGCATCTTGAAGCGCTGATTTCAATTCTCCTTCAATTCTGCTGTGCGCTCTTTTGAAGGAAGTTATGAGCATTTCTTGAGCAAAATTTGCACTGTTTTGATGACAAGATTCACCAATAGTCGAAATTTCACTTACGACTACAAAGGAGCGTCCAAATATAATATACATTTCCGTTAAGCTCAGGAAAACTTGTCTCCGATATAAAAAGCCGACACTCATGATTCTGACTGCCTAAATTTTGTAAAACTATTATAGGAAAAAGTCCATAAATTCGTTCAGAGAGCCGCACAGCAGATGACGAACACAGATTTGGAATCAGTGTTTCAAGTCGCATCTACTGGTATACACCTCGCTGCAAAAGGCCGTCACCAAGTGTCTCTTCCTTGTAAGCATAGTTTAGCGCTATAATAATGTATCGCAAACCAGCTTCGAACATATGCGCAACAAAATAACTGAAGAAATTGACATGCAGCGTGTTTTTTTTTCTACTGTGAAGAGGAGATGACAAATGACAATCTTCATACCAAAAGTGGAAAAATGAAGTAGTGAATTCATCATATTACTATCACAAAGAGACCTCTCCTCTCGTTCTTTTTCTTTCTTTTATTGCAGTAAGGATCAAAGTGAGTGATGAACTTTGATTTGCGCAATAGATTATCAATGCTCTACGCATTCCAATCTCTTGAACATCCAGGATTGTTTAGATTTTTTTCATTTCTAGCGATCACACTTGATGGTGGTCCGATATACAGATTGTCCCAAAAAAATGTGCTATGTTTGAATGTATTAACTCTCTTTTCATGAAGTCTTTCAAAAAGCTTTAGGTAACATTTTGTAGAGCGGGCTTCAACTTAGATTTACAGTATAGAGCGTATCATCGATCGCTCTTCGTTACTGTAAAATTACGGTAGGAATTCTTGGCCTATGGTGTTGCAGTGAAAAAGCAGCCTTTTCAAATATTCGGATTCGGTTCACTTCACAGATTCACAGATTCGGTCCATACTGTAAATCTATGAAGCCAGCCCTACAAAACGGTACCTAAAACTTTTCGAAAAATTTCATGACAACAGAGTTATCAACAATCAAACAGTAGGCACATTTTTTTGGGACACCCCGTATGTGAGTGACATGTTCAGGAGAATGACTTTCAGATAAATAGATGTCTGTGATGTTCAAAAACGAAGATAGCTTTATGCTTTTTTATGCTGCTAAAAACTGATTTAGGGAATTGATTTTTATAACTACAGCAAAATCAATCAGTGCTTGAAGATATGGGGTGCGTTTATATTCAAAGGAAGAAGTGAGACGGATGCGGACATGCTGACTACGAATGAAATTCATGATCATAGTACATTCTACCGATCTACTGGTTCTTGCATTTAGAGCTAAGCTGCCGAGTTGGTAGCAGTAAGTGGACACGTCATTTACATTGAAACTGCTTCAAGCTGAAGATGACACGACCGCGGTATGCCATAGATCGTACGCATAGGTTAGACGGGGGTTTTGTTTGAATCTCGAATCTACCTAAAGCTTTGATCTTCGTCATTCTCTGCATTCTTCAATTTCAGCAAGATAACAGGGGTACAGCAGAAAAGCTTAGACATGATGAAGCCGAATTAATTGATTGCAGTTTTTAAGAAGGAGAAGTACACAAATATAGACGAGGAAACTGCGAAAAGATATTGAATCGTGTAGTTAATGAATGTATTGATTTGCTGGATATACACTCTGGGCAATGAGAGGAAACTAACATGGGCGGGACGAAATGGTATTGCTATCGTAGTATAATCAGCAGGGACAAGCGCAAAAAGTCAGCTACTTCCGAATGAGACAAAAGATCAAAGGTAGGTGCAATCCAATCTATACAAAATCATGCGTGAATACCAAAAAATTACCATAAAAAAGGCATGTAAAGAAGAGCATGATTGATTCTGTAATGACTACGGTATCGTGCGTTTTGAGCTTGAGAAGGAGAAAGAGGAGAGGATTCAAGGAAATCTTACTTTCCTTGTAAAGCAATCAAGTATTGAACATCCTTGAAGGCGACCAACCCAAGGTATGATTTCGTTCGAGGAAAATATGGAGCTGATCTAATTCTTCAAAAATTCATAGTGAAACAAATTAGAAGAGTGCTGTGCAATCAAAGGCAGCGTCCAAAACTGAGGATTCTGGCTCTGTGGCAGTATGGTAGCGGGGCCGCTAACTAGGTGAACGCCCAACTAGCGCTGCAGAAGATGAGTTTCGAAGCGAGAAAAGTGCTTCAGAAGGTAGAAGTGGCTAAGACAGCTCCGCCCATCGACGTAGTGGTCCGAAAATAATAACCTCGAAAGTAGGCCTCAGAGTAGAGAGGAATGTCGAAATCTCATCACAATGAGAAACGGGTTTATGACAACTCTAAATACATTAGAACATGTACGAGCTTCATTTTTTCCGGCCAAACACGTTAACGGGTGAGCCACCTGGACCGTTTCTACCTTCTGGAGCGTTTTTCTCGCCTCGGAATTCATTTTTTGCCGCGAAACTTGCGCGACTACTTAGTTAGGGACCGGCATTACACAATCAAAATCTCACCAGCCTCAAATTCGGTGAACAGTGTCTTCATAATAGTAATAGAGAGAATTGCGGAAGATACTTACTTAGATACTTGTTACTTAAGGTTCACAAGACGTACACCTAGTTAGGGAATCGGACACAAAAAAAAAACTTAGGTGCCGGACTTACAAGGGAGAATCGAGGATGAAAAGGAGCAACGTAAACAGTTTGATGCCAATACATCAATGCAGGACGGATAACTGTTGGTAGAAAAATGCTCAACAAAACATATGAAGCTCTGCTATTGCAAAGACTGATTCAGATCTTAATGTCAACCAACACCAACAAAGGGTACCGGTGTAAAATCGAAATTGAAGGAAATTTGCATGAGAGAAGCGGTTTTACAATCAAGGGTGAGAAAAATCTTCAATTTATCAGTTGCGCTATCTGTGTCAATTCCACATTTTAGTTTCTCGCGCATGTACTGATGGAGATCGCAGAAAAAACAGCCGCTTAGCACTCCTTTCTCGAACTCCATAACATAACAACACATAAAAATAGGATACAACTCACCTTATCCTTTTCCAGGCCATTGAAGTGTATGATGTCGTTAACCCGACGTGGCAAACTTTTCACTACATCGTACGCCTCCTAAAAAGTTTGACATGAGTTCAACCATTATGAAGCATAGCAATTATCTTCCGAACTTCAGACCTGCTAAGTAGCGCAATAGCAACAGTGTAAACGCACAAAATGGCCGCATTTTTGCGATACTGTTTCTTTTTCCTTTTTTTTTCTGCCATTTAGAAAATGGTGCCCCAATTCTTACAAAAACTTCTGCCAATCCTTGATCTTATCAAGAAGTATTATTATACCGCAGAAGCTAGTCTCAGACTCAATTTAAAACTCAAGAACAACATACCCGGATTTCATCAACATTATTGCAGTGCTTGAGCAGCTGCTCCATAAGGAGCTTGTACCTAGATCAAATTACAATTGTTTCAGTACTAGTAAAATGGACAGCTTACCTCGTACATCGCTGGACCGGTTTTATGCGCATAGAATGAAGAGAATTATTTTGCTCCAGGCCGTGTTTCTCTCTGATAGACTAAAATGAATCATGATTTAAAAAGGTCAGTCACTGATCAATTCTCTGTTTGAAGATTGATGTCAATGAGAAAAAGAACCTATAGTATACCACATTTCGACTCCTGATTTTGTTAAAAGTAAGCTCACCTCAAAAAAGGACACAGCTTCAGGTAACGCTACTACATGGTTGTTCTGCTCCATATTTACACAGTAATCTGTATACAGCTCATTGAGGTAATCCACCCACACGGTGAAAGAGCATCCCACTTCTTCTGGATCATCTTCATATTTCGAAAGCTCATGAAAGAACTTCCTGCAAAAACTTATACTGGTCATAGTAGCCATATATTAGTATCAGAAAAATGGCCACACAAAATTAGGTATATACTGCTGAACTCGCTGATAATGTAGATCCACTGGGAGAATACAAGTTGGGTGAAGCATTTTTACCGACAAAATAACGTATGAAACCACTACAAAACCGAATCGCCTCAACACGGACTTGACTGTCCCTCGCCCCTCCTACAGTCATAGCCGCTACGCATCTCAGAGTCAATCCAGATAAGTGATGAATAACTTAACAACCCGGTCAAACTTTCAAAAACATATCCTCGCTTTGCCAATAACTAATCACATATGGTATTATGAGATCCATTCTTGAAATATCCCAAATTTTCTCATTCTATGCTTATGAAAGTAATAATGGGCCATCTTAGATTCACCGCATTTAATCAGACCTAACCGATCTTTTCGAAGTACCGCGCTCACTGCCAAGCTTCGAGGGAGCCTAGCATTATACTCACGTCGAATTTAGTCTCCAAATCACGACTGATTCGAGCCAAATCTTATCGGAGACAAGAGAAGAAATACCACTTACTCAGCATGGAATGCATAAAGCTTTTCATAATTGCCGAAAATGGCATGCCGACGATCTTTCAAAGCTGGAGGAAGCGAGGAATTCGTTTCCGCAGCGTCATATTCAGCAATATACACCTAAAACAATTTAGTCAGATTTGTTTATTGATACATGCAGGTATGCACCATTTCTAAGCATAAGCTCAAAAATGTTTGAAGAAATCTACCATTGAAGTTCACACAAGGTATTGGTGATTTCAGCCTTTTGTTAGCAAAATGCAGATGAGAGGAACTTCGAGGAGTACAAAAAAGTAGAAAGGCTTTTTCATTATAAACAGTCACTTAACAATGGATCCCCTCTGATACACTTTCTAGCGCAACCTTGCTAATTTCACTATTCGGCCATGAACTCGAAAAATGTCCTGTGTAGAAGTTCCCGAAAATCACGGAAACCTTGTGTACTTTCTCGCTCCAACGCGAACTCATTCAAGTCCAGTGGCCGTATTCATCAACGAACCCTGAGGGTTAAGCTTACCCTCCAGGGTTAGTTTAACCCTCAGGGTTCATTGGCCGTATTCATCAACCATAGGGTAGGGTTTACCACGGAACGGCGATCTACCCGTATCGATCAACGAACCTGTGAACATGTTTATCAACCCTGAGGGTTAAACTGACCCTGGAGGATTGAGCGTCAGTTACGCGTGCGCTGTGCAAACCCACATCACAGAATGCCTAAGTACGTGCTAAACTCACTTTATACTTCTATTCTGTCACTGTTATAGTAGCATAGAACGGATAAGCTTCTAACACTAGTTTTTATAATACATCTCTAGCATACTTGTGCAGCATCCAATCTTGCAGCGTGAGTTTATTTTCATATGTGCAATTGTGCAGTGTAGATTCTACTCTTGCGCAGTTCGTTTTATACCGGGCTTGTGCTACTCTTTTAGAGGTCAATGCGTGTTATTACGAAGGGGTTCTTCTGTTTTGGCATTTGTCAGAGTGGAATGCGCAACCATTTTTCCTCGTCGCATTCATTTGTCACCAAAGCTAGAATTCTTTTTCTCGCGAAGTCAGTGTTTCATGTACTTCGAATATGAACATGAAACGAAGTCGAAACTGAATACTATAACAACAACTGATACTAGATACTACAATACTCGTTGATCGTTTTCCATGAAACTATTAGATGCGAGTAAATGTTTGTATGAAGTGTTAGGGTAGAGTTAACCTTGCTTCAAGCTAGGGTTAAATTACCCTGATGAATTACGTAAGTTTTACCCGCCAGGGTTAGTTTAGCCCTCAGAATTCGTTGATGAATAAGGGTTAATCGCTTTCGGGGTAAGGTTTACCCTCAAGGGTAGATGTAACCCTCAGGGTTAAGCCTACACTGTGTTTCACGAATACGGATTAATCGCTTTCCAGGGTTCGTTGATGAATACGGCCACAGGAAAGTGGATTTTTGCTCTCTAACAATATGGGGCTATGCTATCATCACCACCATTTCCAGAGTACAGCTGAAATCCAGCTAAACACACGTTTCGCGCCTTCATGCACTCTAGAGTTGAGTAGCCAAATTTTTCCAGCAGGCGGGGCTCCACACTTTGACAGCAGTCTCACCTGCGAGCTTTTTCGCACTTAGGCACCTCCACCCAAATCCTCGATCTATGTTTCGTCGTCAGGACCCTCTCATGTCCCTGATTCCGAATATGTCGAAAATCCGCGAAAACCGTTCTCCGAACGGTGATTGGATGAGTGAGCACGGATGGACGGGCATTACTGGAGGGGGAAGGGACGCGTTACAAGGTAACGATACCCCGTGTCCGTGTCCTTTTGAGATGAGATGTATACCGTTACACTTGTTTTGGAGTGGTGATTCCGAATCTGACTTCCTTTTTTGCTAATCGTTTCTCTTTAAAAGATGTTGTGAAGAATTTTCGCGCGAAAGAAATATGGTGGGAATGCCAAAACTGCCGCTACGATGTGATGTAGTGGCTAGTGCGATAGCCTCGCAAGTTAATGCAGGTTTAGGTAGTCCTTTTGTGTTTTTCAGTTTTTCATTGCCTCAATCAAGCTTCTCTCTGAAAATTAGGCATCTTCGACCATATTTCCCTTGGGTGACCATTGACGCGAAAATCCTTCATAAATTCCTTTAGAGAAATGGTTAGCAGAAACGGAAGTCAGATGCGGAATCAGCGTTCCAAGACGAGTGTGATGGTATACGCTTCATCTCAAAAGGCCACGGACATCAAGTATCGTTCCTTGTTAGGATCCTCGTGCTTCGCTATTCCTCAATGTCTCGCTCCCGAAGTGACATTTTGCGCCGCAACTTGTGCATTGATTTGATAGGAGGTACTACTATTGTAACGACAAAAGCTCAAGACCCTGACTTAGGGTGGAAGGTGCCTTTAGTCGCATTGTCGACCGCGAAAATTGCCAACCGATTCGAGATACACCTTCGAATTTGTCTTCGGCTGTCGGAGCCAATCAGTTCGTTGCTAAAGTTTGGTGTTTTCCCTTGAGTAGCTCTTCCACCCAAAGGCGAGTTTTTGACATCCTTGAAAGCTGCAAAACACGTGGACTCAACTACGTCCAAGTTTTAAAATTGCTCTGAGAGCGAGAATCTGCCGAGCCGCTGACTAAAAAGCCCTGACATAGGTGAACGTTAGGCACGTTCACCCTACATCAGGAGCCTTAAGCATCTGAGCAGAAAAAAGCATTCGCATTGAAGAATCCGAGCAGAAAAAACATGTTTCGCTTATCTAAGCAAATCCGCCCGGAGAGAGGCGTCTATCAGGATAGGCATCATTGTCTTATATATAAAGCTGAATGTCTGTTTGTCTGTATGTCTGTATGTCTGTATGTACGTATGTTCCGAATAGAAAATTCCATTTCTGAACCGATCGGGACCAAACTTGGCACACATACACTTCGGGCCCCGGCGGGTGTCATAGGCTACTTTTCGTCATCGATCGATATCGATTTTATCGATTTTTATCGATTTTTTTGCTGAGTTCACCTACGGGGCTGGGAGTTGGCACAGGGGGGTAATCGAGCATGGGGATTCCGAATACAATATTAGTTTTTAAAATCGTGCATTACTTTTATCGATTTTATCGATTTTTTTGCAAAGTTTGAGCTACGGGGCTGGGGTTTGGCACAGGGGGGTAATCGAGCATGCTGATCACCCCCGTGGGGGTGATCAGCATGCTCGATTACACCCCCTGCCAAATTCGAGCCCCCTAGCTCAAATTTTGCAAAAAAATCGATAAAATCGATAAAAGTAATGCACGATTTTAAAAACTAATATTGTATTCGGAATCCCCATGCTCACTTACCCCCCTGTGCCAACTCCCAACCCCGTAGCTCAAATTTTGCAAAAAATCGATAAAATCGATATCAATCGATACGGAAAGTAGCCTATGACACCCGCCGGGGCCCGAAGTGTATGTGTGCCAAGTTTGGTTCGGATCGGTTAAGAAATGGAATTTTCTATTCGGAACATACGGCGGAGCCGGGTATGCCAGCTAGTACTCTATGTTTTCCTGATCATCATACCTGTCCGGACGCTCCTCTAAAAGTAATAGGGTGAACGTTAGGCGCATAGGGTGAACGTTAGGCACGTTTACCCCATGTTAGGAGCCTTGATTGGCAGCGTGGCAACATTTTATAGTCAGTGGCTCGGCAGATTCTCGCTCTCTGAGCATCTTGAAACTCTGGACGTGGCTGAGTCCACGTGTTTTGCAGCTTTCAAGGATGTCAAAAACTCTCTTGGGCGGAAGAGCTACTCAAGGAAAGGCACCAAACTCTGGCAACGAACTGATTGGTTCCGACAGCCGAAAACAAATTCGAAGGTGTATCTCGAATCCGGTTGGCAATTTTCGCGATCGACAATGCGATTAGAGGCACCGTCCACCCTAGGTCAGGGATCTTGAGCTTCTGTCATTACAATATTAGTACCCCTATCAAACCAATGCCCAAGTCGCGGCGCGAAACGTCGCTTCGAAAGCGAGAAAATCGCTTCGGAAGAGTGAAGAGGCATAAGGCCCCGGACAGACTTCACGCGATTTGATCGTCGCGACTCAATCGCCAACATTTCCATGCATTTTCATTTCACATTCAAAAATTTCGGGCTGGAAAAGTATCACAACCGAAATGCAAGTTGATCGGCATGGAACGATGTTGTAACAGTTGTCTCGTCGCGATTCAGTCGCGACGATCAAATCGCGTGAAGTCTATCCGGGGCCTAAAGACCCTAAGCAACACCGCTCCTCTCCAGTGATGCCCGCCCATCCGTGCGCGCCCTCCAATCACCGTTTCAAAAAATGAGCCGGCGGGTTTTTCAGAACGGAGATTGTGGAGGTTTTCGATTCTCGACTATTCGGAATCAGGGACGTAAAAAGGCAAACAACTAAAACATGGAAATCGAGAATCTGCGTAGACAGTGCCTTTAAGAAGCAAATGCTATTCTAAGTGTGTCTCTCACTGTTGCGTTCAGCACAGCCAGAGGGCCAAAGATTGTTTAAAAAAAGACTCGCAAATCTGCCGAATCCCATCTTTGAGGACCGCGAACTTTCGTTTGCACATAGCCTTCAGATGTTATAGACTTCCATCAACGCATTAAATCTCACAAACAACAGAACTGATTAAGTACCCTCAAAGCGATAAATAAAGCCCGAATTATCGGTCTGATAGTTCAATATCCTTTCCAAACTAGTGCAGCGCAATGAAGTTGGGTAAACCGGATAGATAAGAAGCAAACGAGTGACTGCTCAAAACACATAATTGAACCAAGCGTTATCAATGAGTATTCGAATTTTAAGAAAATGAGTGGTTTTATGGCAGGGCATGAAATGCACTATATAATACAAAAGCGATAGATCAAAATTACCTGGATGCATTTTCTCAGATCTTCAATGTAATCTCTTTCAGACTTGATCAGCTCATGCATCGGCTCCCTGGAAGTACACCAGTAGTTAAATGTTCATCGACCACCAAGGCAAGTAGTATATCATTTTCGTTCATGAAATATGCATGCAATTCGTTAATAACCCGTTTGTTCGTGTGAAAACGCGTGTGTTTGATGTCTTGGTTTCCTTGAAAAGAATTCAATGAAACATGTATGGATCAAGACATGAAATTCTGTGATAGAGAGGTGCTTCGCAAATCTGTAGCTCTCTAATAAGTTAGAGTAAGAAATTAGTAATAGAGGAATTCAAGAAAAATTTCAACAAAACCAGCCATACTTCATCTTCCTGTTCTGTTCTCTTTTCATTGCGCTGACGTTTTCCTCAACGCTTGCATCAGAGAGCCGATCAAGGGAAAGATCATCTTTCTGCAAGTATACATGTCACAATTACTAATGAAATATTAGAACGACTCATAAAAAAGAACAGACCGGATATGGCTTTCCACCTCGAAGAATTGTTTCACACTCAGCTACACGGCGCGAGAATTTCTCGAAGCGGAGTCGCACCTTTTATCAACAGATTTTCTCATCAAGTATAGCGATATATAAACTAAGGCTTACATCATCCATACATTCAGCAATATCTGCAGCATGTTGCTTGGCTTCGTCTCTAATAGGACCGGCCATGCAGAGGAGAGTTTGAATTTTTGCCCTTTCTTCCTGAAAATGGGGAATTGAGAGACAGCAGACCTGCAGTAGACGTACCTTCACAGTGAGCTTAAAAGTGTGGAAGTCTTCCATAGTTGCCTGATCAGCTGTACCTTTGTTGATGAACTCTGAGAGACGACGCTCTCCTTCACCACATAACCAGTCTACTATGATATGACGAGTAGCGTCCATCAGTACAAACTGTTGACACCTATAGATATACAGATATTATCTTAGAGTAATGGAATGAGTTTTAGAGTAATTTAGAAGTGACCTATCCAACTGCTTCTTCTTCTTTGTCCACAATTCCAGTATCTTTGATTGACGTTCTCGTAAGTCAGACTTCATTCTAATGATCCTTTCACTGTCAAGTCTGTAAAGTGAATTGTAACCAGAGTCACTTGAGTATGAACACTAGCTTACCGGTTTTGAACGCCAGCGCTTGTTCTTTCTATGTACTTGAGGAATAGTTCGCTTGTCTTCTGAGCGTATATACATCCTTTGAGAAATCTGTCTTTGTAATCCATATGCTTGCTGAGCAGCTCGGATATGACATTGACTCTTTCCTGGGGAGTTTCTCCTGCTCTCACAGCGCACCAGTCTCGATCTGGGTTCTGGAAACAATACTCAATCCTTTCGAATACTGAGTAAAGATTGATAGATGTTGGTAGATACCTGGCTGTAATCCTTCTCCAGCTGATCCAGGATGGGGTAGACTCCGGTGAGATACGTTTTGTAGCACACAATAGCAGCCTGAACATGAATAAGGGTATATGAGCTGATATTAAAGACATTTACCTTCAAAAGTTTGTTCCGCTCCTCTGCAAGCCCACTCAATCGTCGCCAACGACTCGTGACCATCTCGTTCAATTCCACTACCGCAGCTCTATCCGTACAACCCTCCCGGATAAGATCATTCGACAACTCGTAGAAGACACGCACAGAATCCATATTATTGAGCTGAGATGATTACATAACTGATCACTCTTTCGCCATAGTTCAAGAGACTTACCTCTATTCGTTTGATAAAAAGTTCATGCGCTTCCTGCGCTCTAAGGGCTTGCTCAAGATCTACAGGCACCGTGCTCATGGCTTGTAATGCCCTCTCTTCACGGTCGAATACTGCGACTATGTCGCGTACAACATTGCGAATCTGAATGTCAGGTTGATTTCATGGGTGCTTGCTCAGATAGTGTATGAACCTACCGTGCCCAGCTTTCGGGAGCCTTCTATCCGATAAGATGTTTCAGCGGCGTACTTCAACAGGAGACTTAGATAATATTCTACTTTGAGCTACATCAATATACCTGCATAACTTGATGTTCCGCAGCTTCGAGAATTTTTAGGTTTTCCTTGATCAGTTCAGTAACGCTCTTACCTTGCTTCGTGCGCAAGTCAGAGAATCCATTTCCATGGATAGACTAAATGATGGATAAAAGTATCAAAGATACGGAGTGAGTATCGCCTCGAATCTCGTCGATATCTCACCTGGAGTACTTCTTGAGCGCATTTCCGTATGTTCTTTACCGCCATTTTTACTTGAGCTGTATTATCCTGATGAAAGGGTAACACTTTTTCCGCATTGCCAGCGAAGGTGGAAGACTCTAACATTCCACGCATATCTTCTTCCCAGCTCTACAATGACAAATGACAAAGAGCTTCGGAGAGAAATGGATTATACTTACACGAATCTGTGATAATACTTCGCAGTTGTCACGTACAAACACCGCAAATCGCAGCCCAATTTGCAACAGTATGCGCTGTGGATTCCAGATCGCTGATAGTTTACTGTTTCTGTTCTCTAGAAGAACCTCGGCAATGACTAGAAATGACAATGGAAAGCAAAAATATACCGATATTTCTGATTAAGCGGTTGATGCATGCTATATTACTAGTATAGTCAATGTCAGTATGCTGAGAATGAACCTCCAGTTCACGAACCAACTGTGTTCCTTCCCCGATAGTAGTTGCATAAGCCTGCAATGTATCATGGAGAGTATTCACAAAGTACAAAGTATACGCTGCTGTGGAGCAATTTAAGGACAGAAAGTCTTGATAAATTACCAACATACGTGAATTCGTAATGGTGCACACAATGAAAAATTGTTAGACAAGCAGCTAAGAAGCAATTGCTACCAATGGAACGCACGTCACAACGTAAGTCTTATAATTTCGATTACTAACCTGAGCAGTACCATCGCTTTCATACAACCACTGTTCTTTGCTCCTCTCACAAGAGTCGATATCCGAATCAACAACATGTTCAGCATACTTCTTTTCCATTTCATCGTACCAAGCCATAATTTCATGATAATGTGTATGGAAAAGAACGGATTGATTCAACAGATTGAATCTGCAAACCATAAGCTCGATAAAGCAATTAGCACATTGCCTCGAAACAGTTTTACCTGGCTTCCACGCGATGCGTAAACTGCTGAACCCGCTGGTCTAGATCTCCTATCATCGCTCGCATTTTTTCAGCATCACACACACCTGAAATTTTACAGTCGAAAAATAGAAATAATGTTTTTTAAAATGAAAATTAGCCACAATAGAGTCGGCGCAGCCTAACTGTGCACTTGTATATGATTGGAAGGAGAAGAATGAATACCGCTGACAGGCTATCTCCATGGATGGCTACAGCTCCTTCCGCTCAGCTAATACAAAGCGAGAGCCAACAGTCAGCAATGAGGCTCCTAACAATATCGTTTCTCCCTCCCTCCTTCCCCCCCCCCCCTCACCTTCCATGTGAATCTCATGGAAGCAAAGATACACATAAACAAGAGATATATGTGATAATGGCATGAGCGCCGTTTTTTCTGGCTTGACAGATAAAAAGCCGGCTTGCGCTAGATACTCAATAATTGCAAATTGTGCCATAAGTTAATGGCATCGACACAAAAATAAGTTGACAAAAAGTCTTCTAAATAGCAGTACCTGACTCTAAAATGGCCTTGCTGGCTTCAAATAGTTTGTTAGCATTCGAGTAGGTGTTCTTTGCGATTTGTCGAAAATGACTGTGATTCCTTTGCAACGTCCTGGCCTGTTCCACAGTTTCACCTCAACGAGAGATGTAAAGTTTCAAGAGGGGCCGCGCTAGATAAACTATTACCTATACTAGTGTTTTTGACAAGGTAGGGATCCCCATGTTGCTCAAGCCATTCCACGACAAGTTGGGTGTCCGTTCGGAAGGCTATCAGAGCCAGCATGGAATGAAGGCGTACCTGCAATACAAAAAATGTAAAAATGGTTTGATTTCAGAATTTCAACAAACTAGCTACTATGATGAAATGTGTGATTCATTAAAATGAACTCTACCCACCCTTCGTTCCTTCCATAAGCAAAGCAAATGTTTGTGAGCTCTTGTAAGCTTTCCTAGTTGTTCTTTGGAAAACGGGTCATCGATATCCACCGACTTCAACATCTGCGCTAATTGCGATCCTTGAGCAAAAGCCTGCAACCAAGCGCTACAATTATCACATCTTTGTATCATCCATGCGCTCTCGTGAAATTAAGATAAGACAAAATGACCATGTTCAAGAAGAAAGTACTTACTTCAGCATAGGTTTCCTCGACATTAGTCCAAAACTTCTCATGTTGTTGGATAGCCTCTTCAAGAACTTCCGCAGGCTTTCCGTTCATGGAAGCGGGATCGACGCCTGGATTTTCAACCCACGACGGCAGTTGATTGAAATACTGAATACTGAAGCGATTAGAACCGGTAACATATTATAGGACAAGACTTTTACCTACCGCTTTGCTTGCAACAAAAAATGCGACCGCTGAACTCAGTATGAGTCTTCTTTTTAGCACGTGCTCTTGAAACCTCGTCCATTCCTCCTCTAATCGTAACTTTGTTCTTTCGAGCTAAACGAACACTACAGAGCCTCAAAAGCTAAATTCAGCTTTAGCAGCTCAATTACTGCTAAAGAAAATGAGGATTGCGCAATATGATAACACTGACGAGCTTTGTAGGAACTCAAATGGTAATGGTAATCGATGAAGCGAATAAGGTACTTGCCATAAAAAGGAGAGTTAAGGGTGACATAACATTATAATAGAAAGAAATTCTTTGAGAAAATCCGTAAAGAAGTGAGAATGTCCAAAAACGTTCCAAGCATATGAAAGCTCGTGAGTAAATGTGATACGATATACAGGGTGTCCCAAAATAATGTGCACACTGTTTGATTTTGAATAATTCTTTTATTATGAGGTCTTTCGAGAAGCGGTAGGCGCCATTTTGTAGAGCTGGCTTCAACTTAGATATACAGTATAGAGCGAATCACCGACCGCTATTCATTACTGTAGGATTACGGTAGAAACTTGGAACATATGGTGTAACTGTGGAAAAAGCTGCCGTTTCAAAAATTTTCAGAAAAATGTGAAAACTTGTGTAATAGGGTTTTTGGGGACGCTGAGTTCAATACTCAACTATTCTCAAGATTGCGAAGCTTTCTAAACGGTGTAACCGCACTTTTTAGGAACATTGAGAAAATGGCCGCTATGCTTATCTCGCATAACTCTTCAGTGAAGCATCATAATAAGTTGGAAACTTTACGATTAGAATCAGTAACTCTAGTTGGCCTAGCGTAAAAGTTTTCAGGCTGTTTTGTTTCCTTTCTGAGGCAAAATATGGCCTTTCATGGTCCAAAACCCTCTTTCAAGTTTCTACCCTAATCCTACAGTAATGAAGAGCGGTCGGTGATTCGTACTATACTGCAAATCTAAGTTGAAGCCAGCTCTACAAAATGGCGCTTACCGCTTCTCGAAAGACCTTATGATAAGAGAGTTATTCAAAATCAAACAGTGTGCACATTATTTTGGGACACCTTGTATATCAGGGCTCTCACCTTATTCCGAGACGACTGCGTACCAGTCGATTGCAAACGAACTGCTATGTTAGTGACTTGAACGATGTTGACTTCAGCATTCTGAAAAAGGGTTAACTATTATGACAATAAGCTGAGGTCAAATAATTCGAAAGTCCTTCCTAACCTTTTATCAAAACTGATATGGAAAAATAAACAATGAGAAGTAGTAGAAAAGTGTAAACAGAAAAAAATCAGCTTCGACATAAAAGTGAACTACAAATTTTGTCTCTTGACGCTTATTTACTCAACAACAGAGAAGTATAACATGTGGAAAAACTTGTAAAGAAGACAAGACTCACGCCTACAGTCTTGGAGAAGTCTTCAAACTCATGTAGTTTGTCTGAAGCTTCTGACTCATTAGAACCGATATCACCCATTCGGCGTGATAAAGCATCACAATGTTTTCTAGTCCACTCAAGCATCTGCAATGTACCAATAGGAATATAAAAGCCATAAACAGCATGGTACCTCTTCAGCGTCGTGCTCGAAGAGCTTCATCTGGTAGCATCCTTCTAATTCGACACGACGATTCTCCCATTGTTTGAACACATCGTTCCTGACAAAAATACGGTTTACATTCGCTCAAAACCATCTTTGGCAACTCACTTCAAGCCTCGTAGTGACGTCAGGAGGTTAACCATATGTGGGATTGATGATATCAGATCAGGATTTGAGATGCCACACTGCGCCCTGTTTATCCGTTCACTGATCTGCAGATGCGAATTTATGACAGTTACGGACAGTTATCAAAATTTATGACAGTTATCAAAATCACCTACCCTCTCCGATTCGCTTTGCAAACGCTCGACTGGGACCGAAAATATGCTCTTTTTTATCAAAGAGTGTTGCGAAAGGGCAGCTTCGGCCGTTGCCACATCCACCGGCGATTGAGCCTCCATCATAGATCTACGCTGACATTCTAAATTGCGCATCACCTCAGATACTTGCCAGATCCATCGCTCCAATTCCTGAATCCGTGGTTACGACCTGCTTACACAGATAGTACTATCCGCAATTACCAAGCGAGTATCCAACCAGTCATCGTGATCATAAGGAAACGATCCACCAAGATCGCGGATAAGTTGATTTGGATCCACAAATTTCACTAAGGCATCAATGGAGACCATATGAACCTTCAAACAAAATCGGGTGAGAGCGTTATACATGCGATACATAGGTAAAACAAACTTCAAAGTTCCAAGACCCGAGTAACATATTTGCTTTTTGCTTCTCCCAGAAAGTGTCTGGCTTGATTATGAGTATCATTACATTAAGTCCAGAAGTAATCTCGCAAAGGTACTGGAAGCACTTATGTACACTTTTGTAACCAAGATGAAAGTAAAAGCTTACGTTGATGGCCTTAAGAATCGGCCGTACATTATTATACGCATGTTTCCCACGCATATCTATTATCACAGTAAAACCAAGATCCCTAGCTTCATCGCTAAAAGTTCGAACAAAATTGAAATCACTAACAAATCACTATCTATAGTGAAATTTGCTTACGCAGTGACAGTGTGAAGATAGCGAAGCACATTCCTAATATTGTCCGGATTTAACTGTTGTTCTTTTGGCGGAAAAATTATTATTGCTCGGCCGTTACGATCTCGTGATCCCGGTAACATGGCTATGCAGTCACGCAAAACATGAGCGATATCCTCTGCTTTCAGTACCACCTGGAAGGTAAAAACGACAGAAAAAACATATGACGAAGTCGCAACAAAGCATTCTCCTATGCTAGGTACTCACCTCAGAATCCACCATTTTTGCTAATTTACAACAATTTGTTACAAAGACAGACTAGCATATCAAGCATAATCAAGTAAAAAGTTGAATACAACGATGAGGCTGCCTGTAATTGAAACATGTGGAGTAGAAATTTACAGAACCATCCAAGGAAATTCTCGTCTTATTGTTCTAACATAGAAAAGACCCCGTGGCGTAATAAAGGCGGGAGGCGCGCTCCAGCCCCGCGCGTTCGTGCGCGGTGGTGGAGCCCTCCCGAGGCAGATGGGGCCAGTTCGTCCACTTGTTGAGACGCTAAAAGGCGCAGATGGTTATGATTTGACGCCCATAATCTGTCAAGTCTCCTTATTTCACTAGCTACTTTCGCTGGTGCCGTGGGTATCTTCGAAGCATCTTGGACTGTATTGATGACAAATGATAAAAGTCATTCTGTGGCTGACCGTGCTTCATTTTTGCACTCAACGCAGCTGGCAGTAACATCACTGATGAGTCACTGTTAGCATCCCCAGCTTATTTCCAGCAGTGCACTGCTTTCCCTGCGACTGGCTCAAGGAGCGCCTCCCTCCTTTGACTTCAGCATTTCGAGTGCAGTTGCACTTCATTAGTTATTGAACCATTCTTCTGTGTTGTATCATTCTTTGCACCTATGCAACATTGACGCTCAAAAAAGATTCAGGAGTACTGTATGCGTAAATGCGTGTGCAAGTTTCGCACTACTTTATCAGTACAGCTTTTTACTTGCCTGTGAAATCTATCAGTTTTCACTTGTGGGTTGCACATAATGCATAGATCCTTCCGTTTTTGTTCGTTCGGAATGTAGGGTTCACATTGCGTAGCTTTGTGCTCTCTATCCTATTAGCTCTATTCATCAATGCATCATTCAGTGTTAAATTGCCAAAAGATGCACACATGTCTTTTTCATACTTGAATTCAGGTTAGGATATGCTCATCAAAGTCAAGACTCTTACCGGTAAGGAAATAGAGCTGGATATTGAACCTAACGATAAAGTAGAGAGAATCAAAGAAAAGGTTAGTAGTTTTGCAGTGCTCTTCTGGAAACTCCCTTATTGAGTAGTGCAATCCAGGTAGAAGAAAAAGAAGGAATCCCTCCTCCCCAACAACGGCTAATTTTCGCAGGCAAGCAAATGAACGACGATAAGACTGCGACGGACTATAAGGTGAATTCAATCAATCAGTGCATGTTATAAAAACTAAGCATTAAAAATATGCATGCCCGAAAGTGACCCTGGAGATTGTCATGAGCATGAAAGTAATCCGGCATACAGATCATGGAGATAGACTTATTGCTGTGACCCTTTTGATTTGGTTGTGGTAGTGCATGTAGCGGAGTGAATTCTACGGATTCCTGAAATGTTGAAATGAGAATCAACCATCATTTGGGCAATAATGATCATTTGGTGTAAATTAGTTTAAGAATTTTTTGGTTAGGCTGATCCAACGTTAACATAGGTTCGCGTGCACTGGAATGGGGCCTAGGGTAGTCGAAAATTCCGCAGTGCCGTTGATCACAAAAAATGATGGAGATTGTCCGGCAACAAATCCAGCAGAGAAATTTTTGAAAGGCTTTTTCTTTTGACCTAGGGCCGCATGCTTTAACATCCCCGCTGGGGAGGGGATCGCAGCTCAAGAGAAATCTTCATATTCTGAAGCTCCAGATATCTATGTGGATTTCATGCTGTCTACTTGCCCACAAGTATTCGTACTATGCTTCACTATGAACACATTGAACAGCAGCGAGAAGCTGTACAAGCCGCATTTTCCAGCTTTTGTATGGTCTCTGATGATCCCCGGCGCCTTTCTTCAAAGTCATTTTTCTTCCTTTGAAGTTAGCGAAAATCTCTCAAAGTTCTGATTATCTAACACAGCAGTGCTAGGCATGTTGCTGATGAGAACAAGCGAGTTTTCAAAAAATCGAGTTTTTCGGTTAACCCCAACTTTCGATTTCGACTTTCGACATCGCAAATTCCATGACTCCGATAAATCACTTATTCTTATCAGCAGCATGCTAATCAGTGTGAAGTTAGATAATCTGCACAACCTTGGAAGCTTTCCGTTAACTTCGGAGAAAGGAAAGTGACTTTGAAGAAAAGCGCCGTGGATCATCAGTGATCATGCAAGAGCTGGAAAATGTGGTTTGTACAGGTTCTTGCTACTGTTCAATGTGTTCATAGTGAAGGATGGTGGGAATACTTACTGATAGGTAGACAGCGTGAAATCCAGATATCTGGAGCCTTGGGAGAAGCTTTTTTAAAGCTGCGATCCCCTCCCCGTGGGAGGTCACTGCATGCGGTCCTTAGGGCCGCATGCACTAATATCCCCGCGGGGAGGTTAGTGCATGTGGCCCTTAGTCTGTCCCTTGCTTACAAAATTCATATTTGATTTTTATCCTTGAAAATCGTACATATCATCATGTATCATCTTGTGGAACCAACATTCATAAAACAACAGCAACAGGATTATGATGTTGAGTGAATCTAAATCACACTGATGTTGCCCAGGTGTACACAGGGCTCGAAACGGTTGGCGCCGGGTCGAGCTGGATATCGTTTTCGGGACAAAAATAAAGGGGATATCATTTTTGTGGCCAAAGACACAAGAATTGCGACTTTTTGGTCGACGGTTCGTTTTTTAGGGTTTTTACGTTTAGGGTTTAGGGTCAAAGGAAACTTCGTTTTGAAATTTCCATGGTGCCAGCTCGTGCCGAGCCTGGCTGTGGAAGCTATCTCGTAATATAGTATCTTTTCTACCCCTGGTCATTGCTTATAGGGTGCATAAGCTTAACTGCACCCTAAAAGCAATGACCACGACTAGAAAAATTGCATTGTTTCCTTGTATTCATTAAATTTTCAAATACTGTTTCAACAATACGCGGGATCGGCTGCATTCGTTTTCCAAGTTGTATTTCTTCTAAATTTCGACAATGGCGTGAGAGTTACGCCATTACTGACCATAAATGAGAATTTGTGATAACTTTGGTCGCTTTCACTCATAATTCGTGTTCTGAAACAAGCTCTATATGAGAAAAACAGCAGTCAATGATAATAAGTCAAGCAGTCAATGGAGCTTTTGCTTGAGATTATTTGTTAGTAGCTTCACGAAAAGTTTGATGAGTATAGCACTTTGGTTTTTAGGTTGCTGGAGGTTCTGTTCTGCATTTGGTACTGGCCCTTCGCGGTGGATAGTCGTTCCTACTCGTCTCACTCACTTTAATTCATATTTGTGCTGCTTCAAATTCTCCTTCTACCGGTGATAAATTGCACGCTTAATTCGACTTTTTGTAACATGTGATCAGAAGGTTCAAGAAATACCATGTGTTGGAATCTCCATATGTCCTATGTTGGGCACGGGGAATTCTTGATGCAATCTCAGAAGAAAGTCCACTTTTATTCTCAAACGAAGCTGCTGCTTTCACAGAGAACAATATTGAATCTGATCTATACACAGTACAGGTGCAATGGATGGTTACTCAACGCATCAGCCACTAATTTTTATTCAGACCTCTCAAAAGAGGCAGAAACTACTAAAAATTCCGCTTTAAACCTATAGATGATCTAGTGACTCTCATGCGTTCTCATGTTTTCACTCTGGAATAGCTTGTTCATCCTCTTCCACGACAACCTTAAAAAATTTTAAAGTTGAAGAGAATTTCAGTCAAAACTGGTGAAGCTGAGGCTGTGTCCAGGGTGCCCTTACCAGCGCCGTGCTAGTGTTCATGGCAAAACGTCGACCAGCCAATCCAGGGTGCGTTCATTCGGTTCCGACACGGCGCTGGCACGCGGCAGTTCTCGAGACGGCCTTAGAGTAGTACTCCATGGCTCGAAGTCATGCTCACTTGAATGATGCCGGAATGAACAGCGAATAATAGGGAAAGAGTGATTGCTCCCAGTCCAAATAAAATAGTGTCACGCAATGGCAAGTCATCCTGCGGCTGGCTGGCTTCCGCCGAGGCGGCCTGAACTGGAAGAATTCATAAATGTAATTTCATCTTTATGAGTGATTACACCTTTTCTGCCTCTTTAGCCTTCTCAGCCTTCTGTAAACGATTCTCCCACATTTTTCTTTCTGCTTTTTGTCTCCGCAGTTGTTCTTCGGATGGAGGCAGATAGATTGAAGCAACTTGTTCCACAAAGCGTACCTAAGCGTGCAGAGGGAATTTAGCAAGTGTGGGAGAAGCTGCAATCTGCATACTGACCAGGTTTGGGCATGCTCTCAAGTGCAGCTGTAACCTATCATTCGGAAGGGGTAAGCGCAGAAGTGGCGCCAAATAGCCGAAAACAAGAGCATCCAAAGAGCTCGGTCTGGAATAAGGCCTTTACAGATAAATCAGGGATAGCGTCACTCACTTGTTACCACAGAAGAACTTGTTGTCACCAAGCTTCGCAGAAAGCATGTTCAAAGCCTAAACCACTAAATGAAACAGAAGTCATGACGACAATGCTTTGAATGTCTCGCAGACAATAGTCTTGATTTACAAACAGGTCCAGATACAAAGTTCTTGTAAAAAAATAGGAGACATCGGGCAGATGTCATGCTCAATCTGTGAGCGATTCGGAAATGGCATACTACGGATTTTTAGCTCTGGTGTCGCGCAAGCAAAAACGCGGAGGCGATGGAGTTCGCGGTGAACGAATTCTTTTTTTTTTCGACTCGAGAAAAATCGTGTATCGTGCATGACAAAGGTCCACCGAAAAGGAAGGAAAGAAAACTGCCGTGAACGTCTAAAGATGCGAACATCTTATATATAAAGCTGAATGTCTGTCTGTCTGTCTGTCTGTACGTATGTGCGGAATAGAAATTTTTATTTCTGAACCGATTTGGACCAAACTTGGCACACATACACTTCGGGGCAGGGAGCGTGTCATAGGCTACTTTTCGTTATCGATCGATATCGATTTTATCGATTTTTTGCAAAATTTGAGCTAGGGGGCTAGGATTTTGCACAGGGGGGTAATCGAGCATGCTGATCACCCCGGAGGGGTTGACCCCGGAGGGGTTGACCCCGGAGGGGTTGATCAGCATGCTCGATTACCCCCCTGTGCAAAATCCTAGCCCCCTAGCTCAAATTTTGCAAAAAATCGATAAAATCGATATCGATCGATAACGAAAAGTGGACTATGACACGCTCCCTGCCCCGAAGTGTATGTGTGCAAAGTTTGGTCCCGGGCGGAGCCGGGTTTGCCATCTAGTTACCTCTAATCCATCCTTCATTATCACTGTGACCGTCTTTTCAGAAAGAAACCGTTGTACGCGCTTTCTGTGTTTTTCCAGATAGTACATATTGTATGGGAACGATAGACGAGAGGAGTACCAATGGTGTGTCACAGTACTGTAGTTCAAGTCATCCAACCAGAATGTGTACAACTAAAGCCTAAACAATTATCGAAATGAATGACAACATTAAGAACGAACCACAGCGGGATTGAGGTACTGTTGTAAGTAGCAGCTAAAAGCGTCAATCTGCGACTTTTCAGAAGCTGTCAGTTCAGCATCGATCACCACTTCCTGCCCACTCTTTCGCAGTACCTCTACAAACCTTAATAGCAAAGCATTTACAAAAGATCTGAAAATGTGAATATGTGATCAAAAAATCTGACATAAATACTTTGTTAACAGTATTAGTGAAAAACCGCGGTAGAAATTTCTACTATATCATGTCTTATGTTCATATGCACAAATATAAGCTTTCCTTATTAGTAGAAAAAGGTAAGCAACATCCTTGCAAACAAACCGAATTTAGTAAGAAAATAACCACCGACTTGTCAAAATCAATTATCGGTTTTGACTGGGTTGAAGTGTCGACCATGACTGGATACTCTCCTGGAAAGAGTCGAAAACACTCGCAGTAAAATGGTACGAGAATGTCAACAGAACGCTATGGAATCGTGATTACTTTCTATCAAAGCGAAGGAAACATCGAATCAAAGGTAATGACCTCGCTTTATCATTTTATGTCGGCTTTGATACTAGCCGGAAGTTCCTGGTTCCATTTGTGAGCAGATAAATAAAAATATGATGGAGATTAGCTTAACTTTTACGCGTCTACACTCTGCTGATCTGTGCAAAATGATGCGTCTCACTTCTTGTCACAATAGCCTTCACAAATAAAAACGTAGCTCTGCACTATTTACAGAGATACAGAGATACATATGTGGATCACAACTGTGGGTCACGACTGTCAGAAAACAATGAATTGCCTCATGGGATAAAATTTCTAAAAATCGGAGAGAAAAACTAGAATTGCAGCGCAATGATGCTCTTTGGATAACTCCTTATTACATCGAACGAGTCTAACTTCATCTTCGGGATAACTCCAGCACAGGGTATAAATAAAAACCTAGTACTGCTGTGCTGTAAACTTTTTTGAAAAGAAAAAGGATGCGCTATGCTGCAGGTACTTACCAGTTGGTGAGTTCCATGGACTTGAAGAGTATACTACTGAAACAGGACTGGCGCACATTTTGGCACAAGCCTAGAAGGGGTAGTGCTGTAATTGCCAAAAAATGGGCTTGGTAATATGGCCCACCAAAAATTGCAGGCAGCTGACATCAATCGAGGGCAGACCGAAATCTGCCGGCCAGACGTGTAGTTCCATGGATATTCACCTAAACTTGAATCAAAGAGATTTATTATTAAGACATTTATGTGTTGAACCGGAGAGGAGGAAGAGATAGAAACTGCACATGCAAGAGCATAAGCATTCATTTGGATGAGAGCATTTAACGATTACGATGTGTTCACAAAATGTTGTGGAAATCATCTGTAACTAAACGATAAAATTTCGGCTCGCACGATCCCTGTTTCCTTGAGAATCGCATAATACGTTTGACAAAGAATTGCTCCAATTTTGATAAATAATAACGCGCTCCTGTGTGATTTCTTGCGCTCTATTGTTGTTTTTGAACTTTTGCCAAAACTTAATGTACCGGCACGACTGCATATTACATATGAATTTTTGGTGTAAACGTCCTCTCATTTCATCATGGCTTGGATCAGCTAGATATTCTTTTTTGAATCACTTGCTCTTTTGTTCACGCTGTGGGCTTTTCGTAATCGGTGTTTTTGAGTTTTACGGTGTTTCTCATTTTTCATCGATTCTCCCAAATCAGGGAGTAGTTCATAAATTGCTAGTAAACAACTTCAAAAGTTGATGATGTTATATTGCACCTTTCTTTATTAGACCATTAACTGTTTGCATGTTGGCTTATCTTTCAGATGTGCATGCTGTTTTCATTACTCATTTCCATTTGCTTAATAGATAGCAATCTCTGTTCATGAACCATTAGACACTTCGTATGCCTACTCTTTGGACACCGAAGTGTAAAGGGTCCTTTCTCATTATGATTTGCTGGATCCAATTGTCGATTCAATTTCGTTTGTTAATGTTAGCTTATCACCTACTATCGAACCAGAAGGTAGATAAAAATAGAGCTGTGGAGTGGAGAAACAGGAACTCCTGGAGCAGATAGCGACAATCCTAATTGTTGATCATAGCCGGGATTCACCCCGGATCCGTCTTCGGGTCAATTAAAACAGGCTTAGCACGTGCCGTAGTCTCTAGTAGCATTATCAGCTGGATACATTTGGAGAACCTCTGCATAGCCTAAGTTCAAATCATGTTCAACTAACAACCTTATGTTTTGAGTGGCGCTATTGAGAGTGCGTAATGTTGTGATCAGTAACTGAGCTCGTCACATATCCGCAAATAATCGTACATGTATTTGCATATGGTTGAATAGTTAGGAAATATTAGTGTTGGGGATCGAATATCGTCAACACCGCCGCTTCATCATACTGAACGCTATCTTGTTGGACCCTTCACACTTCGCCAAAAAAAACCCAAAAACAGAAAAAAAAAGCCTAAAAGCGCCAGAAAGAGTCGGAACGCCCCTTTCGCGCGCACTAAGTAAATACGTATATATTTTGCTTCATTTTCTGTCATCTACCAAAAGTTTCAAGCGGGATGAATTGGGAATACGCAGTCATGCTCGTGAGCCCTTGGCTTCAGTTCTCAGAATAAAGAAAAGTTTGAACTAGACTGTTGTAGAGTGGTATTAGGCTGGTAGTAAATGAACCTCTGTTGTATATATCTCTTGTGTTGTTTACAACAATCCTTAGAGGACTATATAAGAGCTTCCTTTTGCGGTAATATTCATTCTTCATTCTTCATTCTTCATTCTTCCATTTCTCCATTCCTGGTCTGTCATTGTACCAGTCGCCGATAAAGCACTGCTGTTATTCGTGTCCCGACTCCACAGAAAGATAGAAGACCACAACAACTGGCGATCAGCAAACGGATCGCGTGGAAAAAGACTACCCGAACCAACCCACCGAACAAGAATTGAAGATGACGACTACATCGACAGCATCACTGGAGCAAATGTTCCAACAGCTAATGGAACAGAACACTGCTCTCATGAAGACCAACCAGGAACTACTACAACGACTGCAACATCCTCCTACCCCACCGACATTAGCCGATTTCTCCGCACTCTCGTCACGAATACCATATTTCACCTATGATCCCGAGAGCGGCTGCAATCGTTCCTACATCAATGCCAGAGAAAGACCGCTGCTCACTCTTATCCGCGAAACTCGATAACGCCACACACGCCAAATTAAGAGGACATCTGGCACCGAAATTACCATTAGAGCTGTCATTTCAAGAACTCACAAGAATATTGACATCATTGTTTGGAGAGAAGACAACGCTATTTCGACGTCGATGGAACTGTTTGCATGTCGTTAAAGACCCCGCAGAGGATATCGAGTCCTACGCTGCCCGAATCAACAAGATGCTGGTCGACGCCAAAGCTGACGAAATGAGAGGTGACCCGTTAAAATGCCTACTTTTCGTTATGGGATTGCAATCACCGTGCGATTCGCCAATAAGAGCCAGATTACTGAGCAAACTGGATGCCGAAAACGATACATTCAAGCTGCAAGACTTGATTGCCGACTATAACGCCTACCAGTCTGTGCAGAAGGATGCTGCCCTTATCGGATCTGTACCGCCTACGCCCGCTCAAGCTCAAGCCGTCGCTCCTGTCCGTAAGAAGAAGCAACGCCGACCCCAGCCGCAACGTACCCGACGCCCATCTGATAGCAAGGATCCGCCTGGACGTTTCCGCCGTGATGACGCGTGCTATATCTGTGGAAATAAAGGACACTGGGCCAACAACTGCCCGTCAAGGAACAGACCAGTCCGCCGTTCCATGAAGAAAGTTGTGAAGTTGAACGTGCTGAACTCCCACCGTCGCTACGTGAATATCAAGCTGAATAACCTGAACGTGAAGATGCAACTAGACACCGGTGCTGACGTATCGACAATCAACCGCAGGACGTGGATGGAATTAGGCTCACCAACCCTGAAGGCCGCTCCTGCCGAATTGAGAGCTGCAAATGGATCGCTGATCGAAGTGTATGGAGTTCATGAAATGCCGTTCACATGCAATGGATTTGATGGTGAGGGATTATTTTACATTACAAAAGACCTGTGTTTGCTAGGAATGGATGTGCTTCAACAGCTGCCGCCCTTCCGAGATGCTTTATCTGCTATTTGCTGTGTCGTGGATGCCTCTTCGGTGCTGGACTAACGCCTTATGGCTGAGTTTCCAGAAGTTTTCAAAGATGAGTTAGGACATGTCAACAAGTTCAAAGCTCACCTCGTACTAAAGAAGGATGCCACGCCCGTCTTCGTGCCCAAACGAAAGGTTCCGTTTGCCGTAAAACCGCTCGTCAACGCAGAATTGGACCGCCTTGTCGCTATTGGAGTATTGTCACCTGTCGATTACTCACAGTGGGCTGCTCCTATCGTACCCGTCAAGAAGAAGAATGGAACAGTGCGCATCTGTGCAGACTATTCCACCGGATTAAATGACGCATTGGAGCTGAATCGACACCCCCTACCAACCGCTGAAGACGTTTTTACCGAACTAAATGGAGGAACAGTCTTCACCAATATCGACCTGCGTGACGCTTATCTGCAAGTAGAAATGGACGACGAAAGCAAAGAGTTGCTGACCATTAACACGTCAAGAGGACTTTTCCGCTACAACCGCCTCCCGTTTGGTGTGAAAAGTGCTCCTGGAATCTTTCAATCGCTGATGAGCAACATCACTGCCGACATAAATGGAGCCGTTGCCTATCTGGACGATGTTGTGGTCACAGGAAGGACGCATGAAGAGCATGATGCGAACGTATTCAAGCTGTTCCAACGTCTTCAAGAGTATGGAATGCGTGTTCGCCGTGAAAAGTGCCATTTTGGTAAGTCCAGTATAGTATTTCTCGGATTCATTGTCGATGCCGAAGGAAGACGCCCCGATCCCGAAAGGATTTCTGCCATCGCCCATATGCCGTCACCCCAAGATATAAAGCAGCTCGAATCTTATCTTGGAATGATTTCATTCTATTCGTCTTTCGTGCCAAGAATGCGTTCACTTCGCGGACCACTGGACGCTTTGAAGAAGAAAGACACACCGTTTGTCTGGAGTAAGGAGTGCCAGGAAGCCTTCGCCCGCCTTCGCGATGTCCTGGCCTCGGATCTTCTACTGTGCCACTACGACCCTAAGAAGCCGATCATTGTTGCCGCTGACGCAAGATTATGGAATCGGAGCCGTGATTTCTCACCGCTATCCGGATGGATCGGAGAAGGTCGTCTCTCACGCAAGCCGTGCCTTGACTGCCGCAGAGAAGAACTACTCACAGATTGAGAAAGAGGGATTGGCCCTAGTTTTTGCCGTCAAGAAATTTCACCGCTACCTTTATGGAAGAAGATTTACCTTGTTAACGGACCATCGCCCTCTACTCACCATCTTCGGGAGCAAGAAAGGAATACCGGCCTATACTGCTAATCGTCTTCAACGGTGGTCATTGACGCTACTGGCCTATGATTTCGACATCAGGTACTGCTCTACGACATCGTTTGGACAGGCCGATGCTCTCTCCCGATTGCTTTCCTGCCGGAGTGCGCCGGATGAAGACGTCATCATGGCTACCATAGAAGCTGATGTCTCCGCCACTTACGAGGAAACACTCGACCAGTTGCCAGTTACCGTGGAAGATGTACGTTCTGCCATGAAAAAAGATGTAGTGTTGATGGAGCTGTTCAACTGCCTACAAACAGGACGTTGGCCAAATGCACTTCCCGGAACGCCGTTGTTCAATTACAGAAGCTTGCAAAGGGAACTGTCTATTCACAACGGATGCATATTCTTCGGATCCAGGATCGTCGTTCCCGTTCTGCTAAGGAGGAAGGTTCTTCGCATGCTGCACGACGGTCACCCTGGACAAACCCGGATGAAGCTGCTTGCTCGCAACTATGTCTACTGGCCTAGTGTAGAAGAGGACGTTAAGAAGACTGTGGAATGTTGCCAGAATTGCCAAGTTGCTGCCAAGAATCCCATAAAAGCTGAACTAACGCCATGGCCGATTGCCAATCGCCCGATGGAACGCCTGCATATCGACTTCGCTGGACCACTTTATGGTCACATGTATCTCATCATCGTGGACGCTTACTCCCGTTGGCCCGAAATCGTGGAAATGAAGTCGACAACATCATCAGCCACCACACGGGAACTACTAAACTTTTTCAGCATGTTTGGATTCCCAGAAACGCTTGTTTCAGACAACGGCACTCAATTCTCTTCCCAGTATTTCGAAGATTTCTGCAGGAAGTACAGTATCAAGCATATTAGGACGCCACCGTTTCACCCACAATCGAATGAACTTGCTGAACGCTTCGTTGGAACTTTCAAGAGAGGAATTATGAAACTAAAGGGAGAAGGAAACCTTTCTGAAGCCTTGTCGAAGCTATTACTCTGCTATCGGTGTACGCCCTGCCCGTCTTCGCCAGATAATCGTTCCCCGGCCGAGATGTTTCTTGGACGAACGATTAATACTCCGCTCACACGTTTGGTCACTGACGCTCAGACTGTTAAACCAAGCTACTCCCCCGGAACGAATCCTAAGATGGAAGCTCAATACAACCGCAGACACGGAGCCAAGAAGAAACACTTCGATGTCCATGATGCTGTTTACGCTCGCGACTACCGCAATCCAGCAAAGCCTACTTGGACCCCAGGAATTGCACAATCAAGGATTGGACGCTCGCTCTACAACGTAGAAGTTGAAGGATTCATATGGAAACGCCATGCCAACCAGCTACGTCCTCGAATAGTCCCCGATGCTACCAGCACGCTATTGGGAGAGTTCAGTCTTTTGGATTTTGAGCTCCCCAGACAGTTGACTCCCGCCGTGTTCGTTGATGTTCCTGTCGCCGACGCCAGTCACACGGATATTGCGCTGCCAAATCCTGATACTGCTGCGGCCAATGCCGAACCCAGGGACGCTGATGAATCCGTCAGTCGAAGGTCTCCTCCTCCTGTTCGTCGCCGCTCGCAAAGGATTCGTCAACCACCACGCCGCCTCAAGATCGACCCATCGAAGAAACGATACAGTGATTAACTTAAGGAGGGAGATGTTGTAGAGTGATATTAGGCTGGTAGTAAATGAACCTCTGTTGTATATATCTCTTGTGTTGTTTACAACAATCCTTAGAGGACTATATAAGAGCTTCCTTTTGCGGTAATATTCATTCTTCATTCTTCATTCTTCATTCTTCCATTTCTTGATTGAAAGATTCCGGGAGCACTTTTCACACCAAACGGGAGGCGGTTGTAGCGGAAAAGTCCAAAGAGCTATACAGGAGGAATATGATTGCGAACAATACAAAGACGCAATAGTTGGGCTACATGAGTAGCTAAAATACCATGCAGTTTCGCGAAAGGGGCGTTTTGGCTCCTTCTGGCGCTTTTGAGCTTTTCTGGGTTTTTTCGGGCGCTTTTGGTCTTTACTGAGCTCTTTTGGGCTTTTTTCGGCAAGATGACGGGTCCCTTAGGTCCTCAAACAATTTTGTGATTCGTGAATTCTTCGCTTCTTGTTTTTGTTGTATTGCGTGTTATCATCAACTTAGATGGCTGAGTTGCCCAAGTCTGCCGAAACACCATCTTCGTTCCCACGTGAGGATGGTACTTCTCATCCACGGCCAACTTCTGCACAGGTACAAGTCAGGCTCGAAGTCGTGTTTTTTCAGAGTATTTGAACTGTGTTTTTCTTTTAGTAATTACCATTGCCTTCTGGTTTACAATATGTTAGCGAGTCACGAATTATAGAATAATTGCAACACGAAACAAAAATTAGAACTTCAACAACAACGATGTATGACAGTCAAGACAAGATCTAGCTTTGATGACTGTATTTTTTGCGTCATATCAAACACATGACGTTAATGTCTTTAACACAATCAAGACACGGCCATTTTATCGATTTCTGTCGTGTCGGGCATACGACCCACTTGTATTAACTTTCTCGTTTCTTTTTTTTTCGATTGCCGATGGATCGTATGGTCCGAAAGGTGATCTTTTAATTAGGCTTCCCCAGATATCTCCAAATTCTTCTGCGGACATCCCATGTACCTCCTCTTAAATCTGCAGTGCCTAGTAGTGCGAACCCAGAGGTAGGTCGTATGTCCGAAATGGCAGTACACGTACGACCCACCGGTGGGTCGTATTTTCGTTAATGTAAAAGCAGCGTTCACATTTTGTGCTTTGACTCCCAGCATAGGCCAGCACAGTTTTACGCTTCTCTGAAGTTAATCATTGCCAACAATTGTCTTGTGGGTTGTACAAAAGCACATGCCGTTTTAGATTTTGAACTCGGAAGATTCACTGATCGGTCGTTTGGCCTTCACATTGCATATTTTCCGATTTTAGACTTTTGAAGACAGTGTATCGGCAGAATCGCGCCCTGGGGGATATTGTTATTGTGGGGTTTCTGGTCATCCCACTGACCTCCACGCGCAGTCCGGCTGGTTGACGTTCCCCATGGGCCGAGAAAATAGCCCTTAAACCGGCGCGTGCATCCCCAATCGGCGCGCGCTCGGACGACCGCTTACTGTTCGGCGCGGGACCCCACGACGGCTCTTCCGCATTGTGCATGCTATGCAAAGGCACGCGCCATACTTGATCGGCTTGATCCGCTTCATTCACTTCGCCATTAGTCAGTTGGCTGATTTGACCAATAGCGAAGTGGATGAAGCGGATCAAGCGGAGCAAGTATGGCGCGTGCCAAAGCAAAAATTACAGAACAGGGCCTTCGTGCCAAGGCCCCCAACTTTCCGTTGATTCTCTTCCGAACTGATTTTTGGAAATCGGGTAGACGCCCCCGAAAAGGCCTTTTCACCCGTTCAAAGCTCAAACTTGCGGTTTACGGGTCCAGAAGGCCCAACCCATGCAAAAAGATGGAAATGCAAAATCTGCCGGGACACTGCCTTTAATGGCTTACTTTATTTAGCATCGTCAAACGGTTGTGCCAATGTTCGTTAGTGCTCGGCAATCGATTTATGGTCCTTGTCCTGTTGAAATGGATTGCCCACATTGTCAGGTATGCATACATATCTGATGTAATCTCTCTATTCCTGTTTTTGTTCTTTTCTGTTGTTCTATTATGGAGTGTACTATCCGCTTCCGAAAGCCAGTTGCCGCTGTTATAATCACAGACTCAGTACAAGGTCATGAGTAAAATGGGAACTCTGATTAACTCCAACTTTCCGCTAGTTCGGTCTTACTAGGTTGGGTTAGCTTACCGCAACACGACTCTGCCCATCCCGAGCTCTTTTGGAAATCGTTACAATTTCTTTGCTTTGTGAAGAAGATTACACCATCTTTTAGGGATCGTTCAGACCCCGCCGCAATCCGTCCAAACCCGCCCAAATACGTCAGAATCCGCCCGAACCCGCCTGAACGCCGGAACTGCCAAAGCGCAGCCGATATGCGACAAATTGGCATATTGGAACACGTGTGGAATACTGCGCGCGTAGTGCATTATCTCAGTCATACGTAGCTCGACGTTAATACCAATCTTCTTTTGTAACTACTCCGATATCAGAAGGATCAATCGCATGCGTGCTCCAATATGCCAATTTGCATGCGATCTGCGGCGCTTTGGCAGTTCAGGCGTTCGGACGTATTGGGCGGGTTTGGGCGTTTGGACGTATTCGGACGGGTTCCGGCGCGGTCTGAACGATCCCTTATGGTAAAATTGATTTTATCATATGCTCACAGCTGGGCGCTTAATCAAAGCAAGTCATAGCATTTCTTTCCTAGAGCGATCGAATATTGAGATTGAGCTTACCGTCAGAGTATGTACAAACAAGTTGTTTATCAAAGGCTGGCTGCCGAGCACTTGTGAGCATTTTCCCCCAACAAATCAAAGATTTTGCACATCTCTTTTGAAAACAGAGTCAAGGTTGCTTGATGTGGTAGGCGGATAATGTCGAAGTAAGTGACTCCGTTACAGGAACGTGATCATCTGTTTCACATAGACTACATTCAGATTATTGCTCGTACACACTAATTGACGATTTCATGTGCCTAATTTGGGTCTCTAGTTTAGATCTAAATATATGTTTCCAGGCGCACATTGTGTCGCACATCGAGCGTATAGCTGGTAGTCTACCTTGGATTCTTTGCGGTGTTTTGGTTCTTCTTGGCTTCTTCTTGTTCCTTGTCCCCTGGTTGTTCTGCTGCCTTCCTTTCTGCGTAGATCAATGCCTCGATGTCGTTCACTCATGTCCTGCCTGCAAGCGCAATCTTGGTCGTTTCAAGCGTGTTTAATCCGGTAGCACCCCATGCACTTGAGCTAGCTCATACAAATAATCGCACATATTAATGCCCCATCTTCATGCGAGGTCTCACAATTTCTTCAGTCCTGCTGCTATTTTGCTATTTTTCAATCTCCATTTCCATCGAAAGCGGCTGTTTCGGCTACTGAAAACTGCGCTTATTCGTCGCTATCCACCTTTTTGATTTCTCTTTCGTTCTGTCTTGTGAGATTGAACTGCATTCATGATAGCTTTAATTGTCAACATTTATTGCTCAGTAGTAGATCTTAAATTGAATTTAATTTCATTTCTGTTATTAACTTTTAGTATTATTGGTTCTACCCACGTTTTCGTCACCAGCCCAACTTTCTTATCACTAAGGCAGCTTCTGATTGATGAAGTTTTGGACGTGTACTATTTTCTAGTGACGGGCCTTCCATTACCTTATACTGTTGTGGCCTACTGCTACTTTGCTAAGTCTCGAGCTTCCCCAGATTTCTATTGCATATGTTATTTACTGCATAATATCCCACAGTATTGTTGTTTGTGCTCTCTTTCTTTCTCTTCCTTTTAGCTTTCAGATGGGTTAGACTGCTGTGCAGTGCGATTTTTCCAATTGTCTTTATATATTTATGTTTTTATTATGCAGTGCCGGGTAATTTTGGCAAAATAAAAACATCTTTTGTTCTTGTTTTATCGTAATTCTAGTGCTGACATAAAATAAATGCATCTTTGTTATGAAGAGTGCGAGAACAAAATGATCAAGTGCTTTTTCCAAGACGTCTGTAGGTGCCAATCCATGCTCTGCAAGAAGGGCAATAGTGTTCAACATCCTTGAATGTTTCCACGCAGAAGGGTACCTTAATTATATCATTAATAAGCATACTCGTAAGTGCTCATCGAACACTCACCCATAAGAAGAAGAGGGGTAGAACGAAGACGCCGGCGATGAGTATCACTAAGAAGGAGACATAAGTGAAAAAGCCGTTGACAAAGCGAAGTTCCGTTTCGCCATGATTCTGTAAATGCAGCGACATGGTGCTGTTAAAAATTTGTCATAGTTTTTCTACTGATTGTATGAGTTGAAACGTTCTTTTGCAATGTACATGATTTCTCAAATTTGGAATGCTTCCTGTATACAGTAGGCGGAAGTTTTCGATAATAGCTAGAGAGAATACTCAGTGCTTACACAAAGGGCTAAAAAACTTCCGGGATCTGGTGATGACCTGGGATCTCACCAACATCAACTTCAGAAGTCACGTTTCGGCGTAACAAATTTTCAATGTCTAATGGTAGAAATTGGCAATCTTTACTTTTCGAGTTCTGTTTACCAACCAACATTTTATTTGTGTTTCTTTTACACAGCATTTTTTACACAAGTTAATAGGAAAAAGTCGATAGCTAGCCTTTGTTTTAGCACCACGTAAATTATCGTTGTTATCAGTTGAGAGTAAGTCATATTAGCGAAAATGTGTGCACTGTTATCCGCTTGAGGTTCTACGTGTGCTGAAAGGTTTGAAGTAATGGAATGTAAGAAAGAACTTAATAATAAAGTGTTTTTAGGGTGAGAAGTTTCCAAACTGTAGCTATGGTATTACTCAGTTTCTTTCAAGTAAAAAACGATAAAGCTTTTAAATTATTTCTGTGTCCTTAAAGCCCGAACTTTCTATAAGTGTTCAAGTTTCCTGATCATGTGAGTGATTTTCGGATTTTTTGGAAGATTTGAAATGTCTATGATTTCGGTTTCTGTTCGAACTGTGGCCCTTCTATCGAAACGCTTTTAACCCTTTTAGAATAAATCCTGATCTCAAAATTGGAAGCAGCTTCACTAAGTTCTTTGCATATGGAGTACAACTCTATTTCACTGCTTTATTGACAAACGAGTCTTTTTTAGTGCTAGTTGACTGCTTCAACTGCTACCTGCGTTTGCATAACAAAGAAAAAACACATAGTTAAGGTTCGGAAAAGTAACCTACGACATGGAAATAAATCGCCTGGTGGATTAAGAGCGGTTTAGCTCGGGACAAAAATACCAAAAGTGGAGCTATTCGTTGATAATAAAGAAAATATTTAATTTTTTGTTTACATCTGAAGGTTTGAAGGAATTTAACCTTTTCCGAATACTTTTTTGCATATGTCTATGCAAGTAATGAATCTACGTTTTCATGGTATAATTGCTTATTTTGTTGCAAAGGAAAAGTGTTTAGGTAATGGGTGTTGCACATTTCCCACTCGAATTGGGAGAAAACGAAAGTTTAACGAAAGTTAGCTGCAAGGAAGAAAAAGTCTTGATGTTAGAATGTCCCTCTAAGATAGAGAAAAGAGCTTCCCCTGATAAGAAAAATCCTATCAAAATCCGGAAAGAATTTTTCAACTTAAATAAGATGAAAAGCATCTAAACGAGCCCGTGAAAATGTTCTTCAATACGCTGAGAAGCTGAAATGTTGACATGGACATATCAGCAATAATTACACGAAAAAGCTAAGGTTAGAGAAGAGTAGCAGATGCATTTTTGTACTACGTAAATCGTTTTGTCTTCATCTTCATTTGCTAAAGTGAATGAAAGCTCCATGTTTGAATTACAAATATACACCTGATTAAAGCATCTCGCTAGCTTTTGAAATACAAAACGCCATTGATTCGGGAACTTGCGTGATGGGGGGGGGGAGTAGATCGAGCGGATACGGTTACAGGTTTCCAACCATTCTAATCTCTTGTTGTTTCACGCTGCGAAGTAATAGAGAGTGAGAAACGGACAGGTTGAGGATGTATGAGTTGAAAAAGTGGAAAGGTGTACTTGCAGCAGAAAACTCAAGCCTGTTTCGGTTTTATCACTCACGAATAAGACTTTCTTTTAGGATAGCTCAAGCACCTCACATCATCTGGAACCGGCGGGTATACCATGTAGCATTTTGCGAACAAGACTTCATTTTGCAAAATTAAATAGTGCTCTATCATCTATAAACGTGACCGGCAGGTTGCGTATTTACGTATTCTTTACCGCATAATCGACATGTGTTCGGGATAGAAACTTTGCAAGAAACTTTACACGTCTTTCAAAGAGGCGTATTCTTTGAAGTGGAGGGAGGGGAGGAGGGAAAGGCAAAGCAATAAGCGTTCTGAAACTTTCAAAGGTGAGAGTCGAAGTCTTTGAATCTCACGATTTGTCCTTGATAGAAACCAATACAAACATATTTATTTACAACCCTTTCTGACTGTATCGATATGATGGTGTGCTAACGAGGCAAGGATACTTGGTGACCGTGACCTTTTGCAGTGAGATGTATACCAGTAAGTGCGGCTTGGAACGCTGATTCTAAGTATACAGGGTGTCCCAAAAAAATGTATCGAACGTTTGATCGTTAATATCTCTCTTCTGAAGAAGTCTTTTCCCTTGCTTCAAGTACCAACCTGTAGAGCTGGCTTCAACTTAGATTTGCATTATAGAATGAATCACTCATCCCTCTTCATTACTGTAGGATTACGGTAGAAACTTCAAAAAGGGTTTTAAGCAATGAAAAGCCATATCTTGCTTCAGAAAAGAAACAAAACAGCCTGAAAACTTTTACACTAGGCTAATTAGAGTTGCTGATTATAACTGTAAAGTTTCCAACTTGTAATGATGCTTCATTGAAGAGTTATGCCAGGTAAGAGGTAGCTGCCAATTTTCTCAATGTTCTTAAAAAGTGCGATTAACCCGTTTAGAAAGCTTCGCAATCTTGTGATTAGTTGAGTATTGAACCCAGCGTCCATGAAAACCCTGTTACATATGTTTTCACATTTTTTTGAAAAACTTTAAAAAGGCAGCTTTTTCCACATTGACACCATATGTTTCAAGTTTCTACCGTAATCCTACAGTAATGAAGAGAGATGGATGATTCGTTTTATGATGCAAATCTAAGTTGAAGCCAGCTCTACAAAACGGTACCTGAAGCAAGGCAAAAGACTTCTTGGGAAGAGAGATGTCAACGATCAAACGTTCGATACATTTTTTTGGGACACCCTGTATATTCGTTATATTCTGTGCGACTCCCTGAACGAAGTTATGGACCTTTGTCCAGTGATTTTGCGAGATTTTGGCACTCAAAATCGTCAGTATTCAAGCTTTTTAGATACTGAGGTATCGGTGACAGTTTGACAGTTTCGGTGACTCAAACGTGAAGCTTAACTTTATCTGTACGCTCTTCTGTAGTGCATAAGCGAAATTCTGAAGGTTTTGGTGCATTCTGCATCAAAACAACAGTGTAAATTTTGGTGACAAGAAATGTTCATAACTACTTTCGGAAGAGCGCACAGATAATGAAAACAGATTTGGAATCAGCGCTTCAAGATGCAAAGGCCACGGTCACCAAGTATCCTTTCCTTGTAAGATATGATAACAGAAGATTTTGTTTGATTGCGCTGCTCAACATCAAATTGTTCAATATGCACCCAGAGTAAAGCTGAGGACCGCCTCAAGTTCGGGTTTCCTATATTTTACTTAGCTGTGCAGTTACGAAAAAACTGTACTAAATGTAGGCGAAAGCAGCACTTGAATTATCTGACATCAACACCTGATATTAGCGTTTACTGTGCAATTTTCGGAGCACTATGATGTTCACTGTCGCCACGTTTTTACGGAGAAGCTTTTGCAATAAATTATTTGAAACTGCATAGACTTCGGTCCATATCTGGTAAAACCAAGCTCAGACGGATTATGGTTATAATCGTTTTTAGGGACGAGTGTATCCATTATACTTCCTTAGGTCCTAGGTGAACGAGATCGGGCAGGAAACGTTAGCACTCGTCAGATTAAGATTTTCCTTTTGTATCATTAGGTATTCAATAGCAAGCAATAATTAAATTAGAAATAGTAGGGGTTAAAAAAGCAATCGGAAGTTTACGAAAAAAGTATAAGGTAGGTAAGACGATGCATTAGTTTAGTGATTAATCTGGGTAAACTCCTCCTTAACCACGAAATATCAAGCAATGCACTGCAATATCTTTTTCGAGCGTAAAGCCACCGGATACTTTCTATGTCGTCCGCTCTTCTCAGAGAAATGAACACGATACTGACTTGCCAAATTTTGAGTGATAAATCTAATTGTAATATTTTCTCTGGCGGAAAAATGCACTATGACATATGGTTCACATCCGTGCAAAATATCATGTAAGAAGCAAAAATATACACTTTTGTTGAGTATAGGGTAGGATTCTTAGAATCCCGTGAAGCCATCCAGAATAATGTGTAAGGCCCTGGGCATACTTCACGCGATTTGGCAATACTCCAATCCTTCGTAACTCATCGTAAGGGTTTTTGGATATACGGAAGATAGGGCATTTTATCAATCTATGAAAGTTATATACGCTGTGTATTTTGGGTCTGCCAATATTGAATTTGAAGACATCTGACAAATTGTCGCGACTAAATTCGCGTGAGGTATGCCCAGTCCAACACCCTAACTTAACTGTAGATTCATTCAACTGAACGTTGTCTGTTGTGGTTCATTGTCTTCCTCTTAATAAGTCATGAAGTCTCAAGGTTAAGTATGAGTGTGTTGTCACTATAAAATTGATACATGAGAATATTAATTAAGTTATGGATACTTTGTGAACTTCTAGTAGAAACATCATACGTTATTCAAATATCTCTCGTAATAATACGTAAGAGTGCAGTTTTCTTTGTTTTGTCATTATCAAAAATTTGAGAGGTTGAAAGGTACGATAACGTGTAATATGAATATCAAACACTGTATGTATATATTTTCCTATAGTGAAACTTTACAATGAGATAATGTACGCTACAAGTTGAGGAGAGAGTTGTGATTTCATAAATTTTTTTGTGGCAGAAGAAAATCATCGGGTTATATGACTTGTACAGCGCTTCGATCAGTGCATCACATTGATCAACCACTCGACAGTCTTTCTGAGAGCTTCGAGCACTTATCGCGGCAAATGACTAAGCTGTGGGGTCTGAGAAGAACGATAGCTGAGCCCTAATCATATGATGTTATGCGGACAATATTCCAGTTAGGTTGGTATGCGTGAAGTAAAATGATGAGAAGCAGCGGGACCTACCCTACACCTTGGACAATCGAGTAATTGTGGTCGATCGGACAGGTACTTCTTCGCATTCACCATCATGGACGGCGTGTGCGACGCCGACCTAAGAGGGTTTTCAACTACTTAAGGAGACTACTCCGATCCAACGCAATTCGTACCTGTGAATGGGAATCGGTACAGATTTCGATGGTGGCGACATGACGAGGAGCGAGGACGACTCGACTATTTGCTGCCTTGCCCTGCGCACTGGCGGTATCCACTTGTGTGGAGTGCCGGGCGCTCATCGAGCTCCAACACGCAGTACTCTCTCGCTCAACTCGAACCTCTGCACAGCTACTACGAGCTGCTCCCGTAGGGGCGGGCTCTCACATCCGGTTCAGTTCCTGGTAGTACGGATGGCGTACCGCGGTTTCATGTTCAACACATTCAAGACCTGGCCATATCTATCGAATGCCATTCTGGACTAGAGCGTACAGTGCAATTTCAGAGTTACGACCCATCGAGTGCGTATGGTCGGAAAAGTAGGCGGCGTGGCAGGAGTTCCCAAAGCTTAGCCGCTTTTCCTCGCAGAGGTACTTGGCACCTCCAAAATCCCTTGAAGGACATCACACCTTCTCGAAGCCAAGGGGCGGCTCCGCCCATCACTCCTCCGTTTAGGTGCCATCATTTTGAAATGTGTACACGCAATGTAAGACGTGCACTGTATTTTGAGGATAATATAATAGAACTGAAATCGAGAAACAAAAAAGAAACTTATAGGTTTCTGTAAGGTTTTAGAATTTGTAAATGACTGCAGCTGAATTTCAGCCTTTCGAGTTATGTTTCATTCATTTTTTGGATGCGAGATCTTCGATTATGCGATGAAGGTTGGTATTTTAGTACATCGATTGCAGGAAAAACCACACTTGGAAAAAACTCTTTGAATTTGGATCTTATTGATCATCAGGTAGTTAGAGTGAACAACTCTTTCGAAATGATGGCAGACGAAAGTAGAAAAGTACATGTATCTAGATATCCTGACTGTTGGAGAAAGCGTTCAGTTGCTTATTCGAAAATCCAATATACTCCTTTCAGAAAAGGTCCTTCTAATGTAGAAGGCTTGGGTTTTCAAACTTTTGATGCTATTACTTCAATCAGATGACCAAGTAATGTACAATTGATCAACCAGTCCTCCAATGTTTTGAATGACCGGGTTTTATACTCAAAATTTCTGTGCAATTTTTCTTCCCTGAAAATGATGTTCAAATGCTCTTTTTCAAAAGGATGGCGTAACAGAAGTTTCCAAGCCGCCTCATTTGATGAATGGTAACGATGTTCTTCGTTTTTTCTCCATTTCTCTCTCATTATCTCAAAATCTGAATCTAAGTTCTCGCTGCTTGCACACCTCACAATGAGTCCAGTAAATGGATGGAGCAGTGGGCGGGGCCTGACCTCTGAGGCACGGAGGTGCTAGAACCCTTCTGGGTGCGAATGCTGGTGCGAAGTCGGTGCGAGGAAAGGTGCTAGGAACTCCTGCACGCCCTCCGAAAAAGTAGTTTTCTACCTAGACCTAGATCCAAAAAACTGCCGAGATGCATGAAGCTGTCCAGTAGATTTTAAAAGGTTACAACTTCAGAGAACGTACGGTCCCTACGTAAATGTGATAGAAACTAAATATCGCTCGCCGTGCTCCATTATTAACAACAGGGCTCGGCACGAGGTGGCTTTTGGAAAATGAAAAAAACGAATTCCCCCTTGATTTTCCCAAAATTTACGGAGCTTTCTTTGACCCTAAGCCATTATCTTAAAAAATCTTCAAAAAAAAAACGAAACGTTTGACCAAAAAACGACCAAAAAACGTCGCAAATTTTATGTCTTTTTAGTCACAAAAACGAAACCCCCTTTGCTTTTTGTCCCAAAAACGACAGGTTGCTTACCAAGCCACCTGTGCGGAGCTCTGATTAGTAATGCGCAAGTATGGATTGCCTTACTCTGAAATGTCACGAACATAGAGAAAATACACATTTCCGAGTCGTTCATTTCTACGTGACGACTGATGTCCCAAAAAATGTGCACCTTTTTGTTCTTTGATAACTCTCCTGCTTTGACGTCTTTCGTGAATCTTAAGTAATAGCATTTTGTAGAGCTGGCTTCAACATAGATTTACAGTATGCGATTCTCCGATCCTCTCCTTAATCTATGATTACGGTAGGAGCTCTAAAGAGCGTTTTAAGCGTTAAGAGTTACATTTTGGATTGTCCATGTTCGGCTATCCTTAAACTTTGGCATGACGGTCTTCCGACTTCCGTTTTGCTTCTGGCTAAGGCTCTGACGAAGGCGACAGCGCAACGTAGGCCATTGCAACATAATAAAGTGTTACCATCTTGGTCAACCGCTCAAATCACACATCATCAAGTTACATTTTGCCCCAAGAAAAGGCCAAATAAGCCAAACTTTTAGCCAGGTTAATCAGAGTTGTGATTTTAGATTGAAACTTTATGCCCATAGTCTTGCTTCCTTCATAAATTATTTCAGGTAAGCAGTATGTCTGCTCTTCCAATGCTTTTCAAAAATATGATTACATCACTAAAAAATCCCAGAAACTCTGTAAAAAGTGCGTAATGAGATCAACATTCTTGAAAACCTACTACGAAATTTTTCAAATTCTTTAGGAATTTCTCCATTAAATGGCTTGATTCACAATGGCGATTCACACATTGACGACCGCTGACGCACATGGTGTGTCAAGGCATAACACACCATATGTGTCGTTGAAATGGCTACTATTTTGCGTAAAACCCACCTGGGTGTTTCCTTTTATGCTGGATCTAGGCATAACCTTTACTGTTTTTGCCATTCCAGCGTTACTAGATGTACTGTTACTGGAATTGTGCGTGATTTTATCTAAAAAATGTTGACTTTTCCGAAACGCTTCGGTCGTCAATATGTTAATGATCAGACAGTGTGCACATTGTTTGGAACACCCTGTACAAGCTAACAACGCAAACCATGGAAATCTGCCTTTTTTGAGTACAGTCTCAAATAGTGCTAATAGATCCAGCTGGAATGATTCATTTTTGCATCTTCTTTTATTCTTTCTTGATATGTGTTGTGCAATACTGCAATTGTCATACATAAGAAAGAAAACATACATGTCAATCATTCTTCAAACCTGACAATCGGATTTTTCATATTTTTTGAACCAAGACTTACTTACCTAACTCAAGCTTTTTATGTATCAACCTATTGTTATGCAAAATTTTTTCCTTTTATTTTGCTGTTAGAGTTTCTTCGCTCATCAGGGCTTGCCATCATCAGTAAATCAGTGCAAAACAGCATGATTTTTATCTGGAAATCCGTCCGACCGGCAGGCTATGGTCGAATGAAATTTACCCGCTTTGTTCTAAGCTTCAGATAATAATTCATAGAGTAACCAATACCTATACTCAAATTTAATTGTAACGTGAGGTAGGTATAAGAGCTTCGACGCTTGAAGACAATGGTTTCTATTTTCGGTAGGAAATCCAATACATTTTTCAACGGAAAAAAATGAATCACGAGAAGAACATAGAACAAGACGAGTATACAAGAAAAGTTCAGCCTTTAGCTGTCCTCGACGATTCCGCAAAAACGTAGAAGATCAAAACGAAATTTTTCGGGCAATTTGAGGCTTATATACATGTATCATTCGTATCACTTGTTCACATAACACATTAATTCATAGTACACAGTCTTGAAGAGTTACTGACTCTACTAGACAAATATAAATTTTTAAAACAAATTTTTTGCTGCTTCCACTGTTTCGATGTTGATACGCATATAGTTTATAGTCCCTCGCGTATAGCTTTAAATTCCGCTTTTGTGGAAAACGAAGACGTTCAGCCTCGATCGACAATGTACGAAAATTGCGTAGCACAGAGGGAGCAAAAATTATTCTTGCTGTGAATCCTACTAGAATTTAATTAACGTAGTTCAAAGAAGCAAGTTTTTGCCTTTCCTAGCCTTGTATGCCTTCATAGCCCTCACCAGAAACGCTTCCGTACATTGTTCTCATCAGTCTCTTTGTATGAATCCCAGCGCATAGTTCTGTGACCTCGCTTGCGCATGTAATTTGACACTCACTGTAACCGACCAGCTCGAAGCATGATATAGCCTGAGCAGCATCACGTTCGCAAACAGAGAGTGAGGAAGTGCTTAGTGAGGAAATTGCCACCAAATCAACAATTAGTCACGTAATTAAGGTTTCTTTTTTTTTGAAATTTGTAAATATTTATCAGTGAGCCGACTCGAGTATGTCTATAAAATAGTTCCGAACAAGTTGGTGCCATTCGATAGATATTACTCTCTGTTACAACTGACTAATACAAAGACTCGGTGCTGAAAAGACTGCTAATGTTGAGAAGAGTGATAACAACGGAAAACAAAAATGGGCGTTTTTAATTCAGTCTTTGTCAAGTGTTTCCAGACTGGGGGTCTCTCAGTACACCGCCGTCTAGACCTTAATCACGAATTCTGAGGAAGTTCACATTGCTTGCAAACTGAGTGCAGATGCAGTCGCACATACTCGTTCCACCAGGATCCAAAAATTTATGACCGAATCTTCATCTGCTGAAGTTCAGGTCGTTATTAAAATGACCGTGGCGCTTACGTATAACTGCGGCTCAATTGAATTTCGAAGGAACTGGAGAAACTTCAGGAACATGTTTCAAATAACCCTCGACTTTCCCACATAGAAGTGACCCAAAATGAGAAAGCTGAAATACCATTTAGTTTGCTAAATTTATCGATTAAATATATTGCAGTAAAAGTTCAGTTAGTACTTGAAATATTTGGTAGTTTTTATGAATCACAATCTTTAAAATAAAACAGGCTTTGTTGTATGCACTACATGTACCATATGTACGCAGATTGAATCTTCCAGAGCATTGGCTGCCATGGTAATGTAGAACTAGATTGTCTAAGAAGATTTTATATTGAATTTTGAAGAAGATTTTTTTCAATTTCAAAAAATTCGGTGGTTAATCACTGCTCACACAAGAATAAAGAATCAAGGTGAGAGTAAAGAGAATATCATGCTTGATCGCTAACAGCCTCTGACAATGAGATTTTCCGCAATCGTACTGGGTTTGATAGCGCATTCAGAGATGTTAGTATGAATTGTATGAATCGAACTCCACATTGTCTGATTCATTTCAAAGTTCACTGACAAATTCAAGGACCTAACGTTTTTCACCCGAAAATGCAGAACCGTTCGCTTCTCGTAGAAAACAAACGCTAAACAATCATTTGCGCATTGTTTATGTGAATGCTGTTTTGATATCTGGAGCAGACGGAATAAGGATGGAGGACAACGCCTTTCTGCTGCTTCGAGCATACTTCTTGAGTGTTTTGGGGTCGCGAAAATGCATTGAGGTCAAGCTGTGAAGAAATTTCGGAGAATATGGTTATTAGCATTCTTCTGCGATGTTTTATGGATTTCCATCAACTACACCTCGCAGCATGGAACAAAACTCAGGTGAACTCCTATAATCATTGTCCTTTGATACGCAACTGTTTTCATCGTACTTCTTACCCCATTATGGATGAAGAACCCCTACGAAAGATAGCAATATGTTGGGATGGTGCAAAATTAGTGGTAATGCAAAATTTCAAACAGATACGAACTTTCTAAACATTCTTTTCGAGTACAAAAAACCATCAGATGCATCAAACCTAAGCAGTTAAACATCAGCGCACAATCACTAAGCTGGTTATAAAAAGGTAGGAAACCAGAAAACCTTATTGAAGAGTCGATATATTCTAAACATACTATGAGATATCTAGGTAACTTCTGTAGCACACTATAGGTACTTCTTTTTTCAAGGCCTCTCAAATCTAGCCAAATGCATTTGATTGAAATTTCGATTTGAGTGCGGGTTTTCAAAGCTATAGATCATTCGAAAAATCGTGACGTTGGCGCGACCGCAAGCGACACCCACGCAGTCCAACAACCGCTTCTTGGTCTTCATTTTTACCGAAATGGTTTTCTGTTTACGTGTGATAGTATTTAAACACTGGAAGTGACTGATCTGAGCGTTGAGGTGACACTTTTTTCTATGAATTTTATGCTCTTTTGAGCACAAAGACCGCAGTCAAATCGTACAGTCATAAATGACCTACATGTAACATTTGAACGGGTAAGTCTGGAGGCCTACTTCGAATATCGTTGAAAATTCATAAGGCTTTAAACGGTATGCAAACTTGTTTCGAAAATGAAACTTGATAGAAAAAGAAATTTGTTAGGGAACAACGCCAAGAAAAGCGCACAATTTTTCGCACCAGCTTGGTACGGATAAGAACAAATCAAAGACTATAACATTGGTCGTTTGTCACTTGCTCTGCAGTGTACTTCCTAAGAATTTATTTTTTTTTACACTATGCTTTGCTATCTGACATTATATTGCGGCAAATATGTATATTTTTAGCGAGATTTGCAAAAGCATTTACGACCATCTCGCTGGTATCCACCGTATGCTGTCTCATCATTGTTTTCTACGTCGTACCGAATGAGGTTCACAGGATCTCTTCTATTCAAAGAGCATTTGAGAAGAATATGGATGTACTGAATGTTGGTCAAGATCAATTTCTATGAACTCAAAATCTGTAAAAAACTTTGGATTGATAATGTTCGCATCTGATGCTTATACATAGTTGATCCAGATCCTTGGTAGGGCCCACATGTAAAATTGAATTTGTTGCTGACTATACTCTTTACATTAGCAAAAGATTATATTGAGATTACTTTTTATAGAATTCATGGAATCAATGACACCTCTAGTTTGATTGTAATGCAAAAAAGAATGGCACTATATCTAAAATTGATAATTCACTTTCCTCTAGTCTACCACAACTGAGTTAGGGAATATTTACCCACACACACATCATGAAGCTGACCTCCACTGCAAAACTGGTTTAAGCAATCATTCTTGGATATAGATCATGCATCTCTTAATAGTGAAGACATTTACCCGTTTTTATAGAAACTTTGCAGACGAAGTTAGTGACACAAACTATATACACAAAATGTACGCAATCAGAGATCAAATTTGATTGAGCTTCAAACGCAAAAAATTTATGGAATCAACATACCTCTAAATTTTGATTATATTGTGTAATGCAAAAAGAGTGCACCATATGTGAAACTCTTTCAGAGGCGCATGAACTCCAACTCGAAAATACTGAGAAATGGGCCAGTACGACCTAAAAGGCAACCAGAGGCACAAGTTTCAGGTAATTTCAACTCAAATGTTCAGTCTAGCTGCTTGTTCAACTTATCCGACTAGCCGAGTAATGGGGAATCGTCCTAGAATTTAGCAGGTGTATTTCTTTCGTGCTAAAATTGTTCGATCAAAGCCATAGGTGCCATAGTCTGAGGTGAATCTCAACCCCTTTTCACTTTAGAGGGTACCCATCTCAGACCATCGCACCTATGATCAAAGCTGCTTACTGCATTCAGGAGAATACAGCATAGCTGACAAGGGAATCGTCTTTAGTCGAAATTGGTGTTTCTAAGTGAGACCACACCACTTTGAAGAGGTGGCCACGGTGGCCCAAATCTGCCAAGCGCTCTGGACCCGGGTTGTGATTTTTTGGAACTAAAAATGAATGCAAAATTCAGGTAAAAACAATTGTTACAATTTTTCCAGCGCCACATAAAGCAATGTTAACTAGCACATTAGACAAAATGTATCCATTGCATGAACTGCTCTGATACTCAACACCACCCCATTTGAGCAAATTTGGGCGATTTTGTTCGTTTTGCATTCTGAAAAACGCCCATAATTCGGCGTCCAGAGGCGCTCGGCAAATAATGAAGGCAAATTTGGAATCACTATGCAATACTCTCCAAAGTAGTATGGGTCTCATCTGAAAAGGCCGCTTCGACTATGCACGCTTCCCTTGATGATGTTAGTGTATGGGAGAATTAGTGTATGGGAGAAAAGTTGTTCCAGCATCAACAACTCGGGAGATCAGCGACTATTCCGTCAATTCTGGAGGAACTGGAGCAGCCGTGCGGACTCAGATGGTTGTATAGGACCACCGGGATTGCCAGGTACGTCTACATACAACGACACTGCATTAAAGACATTGTTCACCCAAAGCTAGGGATCTTGAGCTTCTGGCAGCATACGATAGTTGTCCCCCTATATCGAAATACTAGGATTTTTGAGCTAATTTCGGCTTCATAAAAGTGGTCGATATAGCAATTTCCAAACCATTGCTGCAATTAGTACATTAACCAAAAATTGGGTGAGCTTGCGGACTGAAGGCGTACCCTCTTGGCGTACCAGCGGCGTACCATTCTCCTGCCAGCGGAGTACCCTAGCGTACCAGCGGCGTGCGTCTACCCTACCAGCGGCGTTTGCGTGCTGCGCTCAGAGGACAGTCGAACGCCGCTGGTACGCAACGAAAGTCGGAGTAGCAAGCCAGTTGCGGCACAAATGTCGCTTCGAAAGCGAGAAAGTCGCTCCGGAACAACGAAGCAGAGGATCTCTAGACAGCTCCTCCAGAAATGCCCGGCATCGTGCTTTTCCATCCGGAAATCGCCCCATCGGTTCTCCGGATTGGAGATAGTCAGGGTTTCCGCGGATTCGCAACTTCATATATTCTCAACTTCATAGTTTAAGGACATGAGAAGGCCCCGAAACAACAGAAATATGGAAGTCGCGAATTTGGGTGGACGGCACCTTTGAGCCAAATTTTGTCCCCTGAGATCTATAATGAAAGTAGTTCAACTTTTTTAGGAATCAATGGTTGGGACGGAGCGGACGGAGTTCCTGGGCATCAAGGACTACCAGGACTTGACAATATCGTTGACATCTATGAGGATGGCTGCCTTGTGTGCCCAGCCGGCAAACCTGGACGTCCCGGATATCCAGGACCACGCGGACCGCTCGTAAATTTTGACATTCTTTCTTATAGTAAAGTGAAGACGCTACGAGATGAAGGCGGTCGACCATTGAAGCGCGGCATGTGCGGGCGTACGAGGCCCAGTCATGAAAGACGCTCGAAGGCCGCGCTTGCATACGCTTCGCAAGGTGAACCGACCGCCTCGACTTGAATTAGCTTTTGAGTACCTGAACTCCCATCCAGATTCTTAAAAAACTGGTTAATTTCTCCAACTTACTGCATAAGGTTGCATCGAATGTTGCGAAACGGAAGAGTACAGATTCGTGAATATTGTAATCTACCGTGCTGAAGACGACTTATGCAAATATGTAAAAATCGATGAAAACGACAAACGATGCCATATCATTAAAACCAAATGTTTATGGACAATGGATGAATTTAACAACGTAGCTGTCTAATGTTAGACTTCTTTTCAGAAAAATTTTCATTCTACTTTTGTGTTCATCGAAAACTTAGATTCGAATTTAACTCGAAAAAATGTAGAACTCGCCATGAAATCGTAGATTTCCGCTAATTATGTACACATAATTTTGCCCCGTAGGGGAAATCTAGAGGGCTTTCTCATGAACATGTCCCGTTTTGTGCGAGGCAGGGAGTGGATGAGGAGGGGGAGGGGGGAGAGGACAAAATCTACCAAAAAATTTATAAGCATTCAGATCAACACGAATCAGTTTAATGTTTGACCTTTCAGGGAAATGTTGGACTACCGGGCCAACAAGGCACGAAAGGAGAAGATGGAGAACCGGGTCGTTCTAGCAGCGAACAAGGAGATGTGGGCGTTTCTGGTGAACGTGGGAAAAATGGAGCGCCAGGAACTCCCGGAAAAAGCGTATTCAGTGGAAAAGGAGCAGCAGATGAGTCAAATCCACAGAATTTATTGCTATTCTAACTGTGGCTACTATCGCGAACTTGGCCAATTATTGACTGCTTAGATAAAACAACTTTCTAGGACCACCAGGATTACCTGGACCACAAGGTAAACCAGGGAATGATGGGCGACCTGGAAGCAATTTGGTGCTGGATCCCAGAGTAGGGCTTCCTGGATTGCGCGGAACACAAGGAAGTAGGGGTATACCAGGCAATCCCGGACCTAGGGGTGAGGATGGGCCACCAGGACCAGATCTGGAGTAAGTTGAGAAGTTCTACATGCCTTTGAGAGATAAGGCAAGTAAAGAAAAAAGTTGTATAAAAATAGAAGAAAAAGACAATACCGTTCATTGCGGCCTCTTACAACACCCCGAAAGAATGAAATCATTTTTCAGTTACTGTCCTTGCCCCATACGGACGAGTCCACAGCCACTGACTAAACAACCCGTCGTAGTGAGTATATGATGAGATCCTCATTAAATTGAAACTCAAAATTCCAGAATCCTTTTACTGTGCCAAGATGGATTGTGCCCATAAATAATGAAAGAAGCTACGTACGCCCTCCCTTTCCTTATGATACACATTTGTGATATAATTCAAAGAATCATATAGTCTCCAATCGCAAATGAATGTCTCAGTAATCGAACACATGCTTTTTTACACTTGTTTCTTCTCAAAATATAGACTGGAAAGATAATAACAGATTTAATTCATAAAATCAACAAAGAAACAAATTCAAGGACGTGGTCCACCAGGAACTCCTGGACGAGCTTGTGCGGTACGTTGACCAAAACGAGGAGGGGGATTACGATCCTTGCGGGCATCTCGAGATCGGTTACGAACTACCTTGCTGTGGATCGCGCAGGCGACGCAATAGTGAAGCTTGTGGTAGAGCTTTGGCAGAGCATACTCTGTAATGAACTCTGGTGACTGCAAAACATCATTTCAACGGTATCAGAAAATATAACATAAGGAAACCAAATGGAACATAAATGTTTCTATAGCGACTAGTGAACCAATAGTCAAGGTGCTAGATTTGCATTTCCGCGCCTCAGGACCACACTGCGATTTCGTACTTTTTGATGTTTTTTTAAGTTGGCGCCACGATTCTTTATATATAAGATAGATAGATAAACTAGTGGTCCAGTAATCTCAAAGGTGCTAGTTGCAGGCGCGCTCGCTGGACCCGCTGTTTCATCTGATTGTTTTTGAATGCACATTAAGATTATATATTAGATATCACCGCAGAACACACAATTTTTGGCAATTTCTGACCAAGGAAGATTACAGCGCCATAGGGTTAACTGTCAGATTTTCGTAATTTTCGTGTGGGTCGACAAATCCTCTTCATCAAATGAAGGCAACATGAATATGTTTGAAATTGTGAGATCTACAAAAGCAGAAGACTTATCTATCAGAAACTTGGTCTACCCAGGCGCATTCACAGCGACTGATGTACCAAAGCAGACGATTACGGCAATTATACTATCAAGCAAGGAGACTCGAACAAGCTATGCACATGTTGCATTAAACTCGTGTTCTATAATTTCTTCGTTTACTTAGTTACAAGATATAATTATGATAACTACCCGAAATAAGATGAAACACAATTTTCGATGCATTCATTGTACAATATTCTGCAGTTTATTTAAAGAAGGGACTTTTCAACGATTGCCTTGAAAACAAATACTGCCTTGAAGTGAGCAGCTATAGAATCCTATGTTTGAATGTCAAGTATTTCGAAAGGTCATCTTTCTTGAAGGCAGTGTCCAAGAAAAAGCGATTTCGTGATAACACGGCTATCAAATCGATTGCTGGCCTCCAACCAAGTCCTCGCCCAAGTCCGTAGACAGGAGAATTATTTCACTATACAAAAATCACAAAAAAGTTCCTTATCTTACCCTATCAAAACCCTGTCCCCTTAACCAGTGATGAAAGCAGGTCGTTTTATACCAGTTCAGCTTACATCCGCATTGTCAAACTAACTTGTTCGCGGTTCATTCGACCTGCTTTCATCCTGTTATAGATTACGCTCGGCAGAATTTTGGAGGACAACTATCTGTCCCAGAGGCTTAAATCAAATCTATGAATACGCGATTGCCAGTCCAGCTTTGGACTGTGCCCAAATTCAAAGTCGAGAATCTTGCCGGAACACTGCAAGCGGGAGGACATGCTGATATGGGAAACTCATTTCCGTGGGGGTCTCTTGTTTACGGTATAACTCGCTGTTTTTGCTGGACTTAGTTCATAGGCAGCTCCATATGGATCTGATACGTAGCCGTTTTAACTAAATGGTGTCTTTGTCAAGATCATAACGTTCTCCACGCGAAGGCATTACGTGCCAGATCTGTGTGATCTGAAAACGAACTTTTTTCAATGATTACTCATTCCGAGTTGGTAAATGTTAGCGAACGATTCATTCGCCCGAAAAACGGCCGTATGCATGGGCTTTCCAACTGTCGCGAACCACGAAACCTCCCCAAAGATCAAAGTTTTCGAACAACGAGGTGAGTTTACCCGACAAAAATACAAACTTCCAGAATATTAACGCTGCAAAAGAAAAGAACAGATCAAGTGATTATTAAGATTATTTCCAAGGTTTCATGACATTATGCCTTCAGTATGACCTTCTGCTGAACTTGCAAAAAAATTAAAAAGGCTTTCAAAATCTTACAACTTTACTTTTACAGTGTTCGGGTAGGCTGGCACTAAGAACTACTAATATCAACCCCTTCGAAATGCAATCGCAATGAATTTTACATTTGTTATCAAATTCCTAAAAGCCAAAGCGGGCGAAAGAGCATCTTCGTCTTCAACATTAAACCAATCCTCTTTCTCAAGAGTTTTAATTCACGTATCTCGCTCCTAAAAACAAACCCTCTTGCTATACTAGATAATAATTTGAATAAGTAGCTCACTCACAAGCTTGGTCACAGAATAACACAAGGTCAAACGCATATGAAGAGAATAAAAGAGAAATAAATTATAACATGAAAAATAGTATAAAGTGCTTACGCATATAAGCGGAAGCCTCTCCGATATCTCGCACAGCAGCGGCCTCGACAATGTTTCTCACGACAAACTTCTTAATGGCCTTATCCTTTGGACAGCAACGACCACAGTTGGTGCAGCGGATGAATGTGCAGCGTCCGCGATTCTTCTTGTTTCTTCCATGGTTCCTTCTTTTGACCGTCATGTCTACCCTGAGACAATCATACAAATCGAAAGAGCGCCCAACATACGTCTACATCTGGGCAAATGAAGAAAACTCAAGCTTTTGTTGTCAAGAGAGAGGCATTCACATTCATAGTAGCCAACATGGAAACAAGGAACATTCAGAATTTGAAAGACGACAGGAAGAACCGGCGAAATGAATTACAAAACTTTCTGGCGTTGATGTTTTGTAGTAGTCCCCATAAATACAGATACTCCTATAGATGTCCCAACGAATGAAGACATCGACTTCAGGTGAAACATTACAATACTTGCAAAAGGAGGACGACATGCTAACGAAACCCCCCAACAGAAAACAACAAGATTTCTTTGCCAGCAATTAATGATCCAAAATTTGGAAAAAAAAAAACTGCTTCATTCATGAAAAATTTCAGCAAAATTCTCAGGAAAAAGAAATTCGCAGCTTTGCGGTAACATGTGCTTACGGTAGTCAAAGGACATGCACATCTAAAAGTTTCTTTGGTCCACACATTGTCCATAGCGCTACCATGTACGTTGCTATGGTGAAGCTGAATCGTAAACTAAACGAGAAATGGTTGGAAATGTCTTTGTAGTCGCATGGTAGACACTATCTCTGGGCATTTTCTAAGTCTATTGGCTCATGTGGTGCTCGTTTCAACTTTTTTCTTTAATCAGGTCAGTGGCTACCGAGATGTATGTTTTTGTGTAAATTTATGCAATTTTTAGGAGCCCTTTTTGTTAGCCTCATCTCCCCTGTGTGTGACTGAGATTCAAGAAGACACTCGAGTGGAATTCGTCGTGTTGCTTTCGCTTACACTGCTCGTCGACCTTGGCGAAATGGTTCTGCTACTCATGCGAGTGCCATCGGCTGGCTTGTCACTGCTGTCAAGCTTCGTTCATGCTCTCAGTTGTCTGTTTCTGCTCAAATTCATAGTTGATGAACACCCTGTTAGCAACTTTTGGGTTTTGCTAGCACTTACTTCTTTTCCTGCTCTCTTATTCAACATCATTGGGGCAGCCATGTACCCTGTACGAAACAAAACATAGCTCATTGCTCCCCGTTGTGTGTAAGGTAGTCCGAAATCCAGCATACTTCTCGATCATCAGCCCGAAAAGATGCATACTTGCCAACATGATCTTTTAACATACCAACAATATAAATATCGTATAATTTGTATTTATTTTCTCAATCAGTGACAAGTATCACACGAAACAGCAAAAACTTGGTGACACAAATTGTTTAGAGACTTGCAAATAGATCGTGTGACACACTCGGAAAAAACAGAGCGAGTCGAATGTTCCCTGCGATGTTCACAATTTCTAGAGCAGCAAAGGTAATATGATGTGGATCCAAGGAGAAAACAAAAGTGCTTAGTATATAAGAATTGATTATGAATGATATAAGAAGCTCTCCAGAAGGTCTACATGAAAAACAACGGTTCGTTTTGAGATATAACAGTTCAGGGATAGTAGTGCAACAGTGTGTTACAGTACATTGAAGTATACTGTCGGGTAAGGAACCACAACAATGACGGAATATGTCCCCTAACGACGAATAAGAAGGGGCGACAACAAATGAAAATGTATGCTGTACAGCGCCAATATCATCTACCTATTCGAGTTCACTTTCAAGTGAGACTAAAATCAAATAAACGAAAGCTATTACGGACACATAATCACGGGGTGGATATCAGATGAAAGGACCACTGGAATTAAGTGACTATTGGTGCTGACAGCGTACTCCCCCTTCCTCGTGACCCTGATATTCGTCGTGACGTGGACGACTAAGTGCGATTTCACCCAGCTCGAATACCTCGTCATCATCTCCAACCAAACATTCGCCTGAAAAAAAAAACGCACATCAAATATTTGATACGGTGTTTAGAACTTACTTTTGCCTGGAAGTAGCTCCTGCAATTTCCGCCGGGCCTCCGGTGTAAGTTTATCGGGGAAAACGACACGGAACTGCAGAATGAGGTCACCCTGTAAAGACGTCTTGAAACTTAAGCGCCGTAAATACCACTAATACGTTATAATTTAGTAACTCTTCGATTCTGTACATTAGTTTCTACCTGGAGTATTGAAAAAAAAAAAGATTCTTGCACACATAAAACGTCCAAATCTATAGAATAAAACGTATTCATAGCAGAAACTATAGCGTTTCACATTATTGGTAGAGAAACACAAACTTATGTGTGGTACTGGAGATAGCAGAATGACTAAATACTGGTTTCCAGACATTCAGAAAAATCCAAAGAGATCATGTAAAAATTGCTTAGATCAGATAAGATGTGTCTCTGTTTGAGGTTGTACAACAACGTCAAGTTTTATGTACAGAGTGTTTCAAATTTGGAATCTCCTTTGTTTATTCTACGGAGCTGAGTTCAGCTAAGGTTTTAATGGAAAACAAATCGGCAATCGCTTTTCATTTGAATTACCATATCCAGCATGCAGCTAATATGTGAACCAGTTACCGTCTCAAAGAAAAAATTTTTCCAGAGAAATGAAGAAACGGCAGATTTTTCAAGCAAGCTGATTTCACCCTTTAACTTTTTGCGAATTCTGAGTCATTCAAAGCGTGCAAACATATATTTTCAGGAACATCAAAAAACACAATATACCTGCCAAGAGGCATCATGGCAAAAATAAAGATTTTGTTCAACGTCTACAATTATAAGTTATCTACTTGTTTTTTTTTTCTAGGGCGAAAAGCAGCCCTTACTAACTAATGTCCATCATAACCATGACGTCCAATCCCTGTTTCAGAAATCTGCTCTTTTCGGTCGCTTCACATGCCGTGATGCAAGTATTTCATGAGTCTATCAAAGACTACACTTGTCAATATCGGACTGATATTATCATAATATGCCTAATGTGAGAATGTACCATACTTCATACGAAGAAATTTTCAGTGAAAACATTCACAAGCTGATATACATGAAGATGAGGGGATATGAATATAAAACTCCTAGTAGAACCACGCAGCCAGCATGTATAACTCCGCAAAATAAAGAATAAGAAAAAAGGCTAGCTCAGCTTGCCCACATGATGTGTAGGTAGATATACTAAGAAAAGTCTTGAACTCTAGTCGAATACTGCGAAAATGATTTGCATTGGGTTCCTTCATACTAGCTTATATTCTCGCCGCGTCCTGCGGCGTGCGCCGCTGCAGTCGCAGCGAGAATATAAGCTCGCTCGCTGTGAAGGAACCTCTTGGAGAACACGAACGTGCAGCAAATATAACCTTTGATTCAACTGGCTTGGCACCATTAGGGCGGGGTTTTGTGGTCTAACTGAGGCCGCTCGCGCCCGCGACGCACCTGCTTCTCTCTCGCGCGAAAGCTCCCTGATCATTACCTAGCCTTAATTAGGTCACGAAGCCCCTCCTTTGCCGATGCCAAGCCAGTTGAATCAAATGGTAGATGTCCATAACGGGCGAAACTGTGCTGCCGTGAGCGTATATTTTCACAGCGACTTCATACTACGCCGCGTCCTGCGGCGTAGTACGAAGGAACCCATTGACTACGTGCGAATTTCTACTAGACGGCGCGTTAAACATGACCATGTATTAATTATTGAAAGTACCTTTTCAGTAGGATTCCTTCGATGTGGCATTCCTTCCCCATATATAACCCGCATATCAGAGTGTTTTATTACTTCACCTGAAAAGATAAACACCAAAAGATTTGGGCAATCTCCGATAATTCAAGTTCGACAAAGATTTCGAAAGTGACATGATCTGCCCCACTATTTGGAATTTAGAGTGTTAGAGGGTTATGGGAACCGCAGAAATTTCGGGGAGCGTCCTAAAAAAATTTCGGAGTGGACCTTTGAGAATTTTCTTTTGTTGCCCCCCCCCCCTTGGAGGAAAATCATGGGCCCGCCAGTGCTACAGGTACACATATACCATGTCAAACAAAGAATAGGAATTCTTCCACTATAAGCAAATGGAGTTACCTGGTAAGACGCTAAAGAAAAGCGTCCTATCATCAAGCGTTTTGATCACGCGAGAAAACCCGCACAGTGCTTCAACAAGCTAAAAACAATTTACTGAGATGAACAAAAAAATCTGACGAAATCGCCTTGCCTGAATATCGATATTCATAACCAAATTATCGTCTTTTCTGAAGAATGTGTGATGATCCTAAAATCAGAATAAACACGTATAAAAAGATGCAGCATCTTGAACTAACCTTCTCGTCAAGAATAATAACTATATCACCGGGTGGTACATCGTGATCTTCGTCTCCTCTTCCTTCAAACAAAATCCGATCGCCATCTTTCATACCTTTTTCTACGTGAACCTCCAGAATCTCCTCCACTTTGCGCTGCAAATAAGATTCATAAAAAATTGAACAGGAGATTGGACAGAGCAAATCGATTACCAAAGGACAACGCGAATAAAATACTGAACATGAATCATTTTTGAAAAACTGATGGAACACTTTAATGGAACAAAAAGACATATGTACCTTCTTCTGTCCTTGACAACCTTTGCATCGATCTTTCGCGGGGATCACTTCACCACTACCTTTGCAGGCACCACAAGGTGACTGAACTTGCTGAATCATTCCTGGAGCTAGCTGCATTACTCTGGAAGCAACGAATGAATTTTAAAAAACCTCGAAGGAATGGGTTTCACACCGTATTATCATTCCACGTCCTTTACAATCACTACATTTGACAACGGAACCGGCAACGCCACCCAGTCCTTTGCAGTCAGTGCAAATGACTGTCCTTGTGACCTGAATGAAAAGCGGACAATGCATGAAACGCTAGTTGCGAAACACATTATCAGAATGAGAGGGAGGGCAGAAACCATAGATCCAAACTTGAGAAGGTTATTCTGTGATGATCTAAAGTATTCAGACAATTCTGCCGCTTCTATCTTCAAAATCAATTGGGGCCAGAGCGCATCTGAGTATTCGTAAACCGACAGTTAAAAATCAGAGTGCATGAGAATTGGTCTATGACCTTGATGATCAGGTTTTCGTGAAACAATACCTTGAGCTTCTTGGAGAATCCATTATATAGCTGCTCCAAAGAAACTTTCAGCTGATGAACAGTTGGTCGAACTCCACGCTCCCTCTGCCTTCGTCCTAAAGAAATTGTCTTTTGACGAACATTTTTGACGTTTTCTGAGACAATCTTATTAGTTGTACAAGGTAAAAACATACCTCCTCCAAAGAACATGTCGAAGACATCGAATGGATTGTGGAATTCTCCAGCACCGCCACCGCCTTGAAGAGCTTCTTCTCCACCTTGGTCATAAATTTGCCGCTTCTTCTCATCCGAAAGAACTTCGTAAGCCTGCAAAACAAGACGAAATTTACTCGCAATCAAAACGCATGACTTCTTGCCTGGTTGCTCAGGCAAATTTCTGTGGATCAAGGATTGATTCCTTGCCTTTAGCAAACTAAACAAAATTCTGCGCAGAAAACCGCTTGAAAAACAAGCCTGCACAAGCATATTCAATCAATCATTCCATTTAGCAGACTTGCATGAATCGAATGTTAAACTTATTTTAGCAACAGTTGAAGATTAAGAATATTGATAGGAATAAAAACAAACTAATATTGTCAATTAAACTTGTCTGACCTTCAAACAAAAATGCACTAACCAGCGCCGGAAGAATTACTTGTGAAAAATGCCTCTAATTATTGACACAAAGACTAATCTGGTGTCATAGTCACAGATGATCATTCTTTTTTGAGCCATACAAACGCAGATTTGTAATTGTGTACAGCATTAGAAAATGGGATGTCTGTATTGTCATCATACGAAGCCAACTTATCCCCACCTGTGATATCAACTTGAACTGCTCTCCACCTTCGGGGTTTTTATCCGGATGGTATTTAAGCGCCATTTTTCGGTAGGCTTTCTTGAGTTCGCTGTCCGTAGCATTGGGCGACACGCCCAGGACATCATAATATTTAGTTTCTTTTACCATCTCCTTGCCGATTATAGCCCGTATCTAAGGTGTAGCGAATTGTACCCTAAAATATTGCAGTCGAAGAAATCGCTGCTTGGCACGCAATGACAGACGCATGTCGACAGTATCAGTAAGCGAAAAGAAGAAGAAGGGACATTGCAACACTTGGAAAAACAAGATAGCAAGCATCCTCCAACGACGAACAATTGAGGAAAGCGATGATGCTCAAAACGAGTTCGCGAAGATTCGCTTCTTAAAGGACTATTTTTCCAGCAATTAATGATTGGAGCGCGTCATCTCTCGATTCTGCCACAAGTGATTCAGAAGCTGCAGTCACATTTTTGCTAGCAACATTGGGGTAAGAATGGTATAAGAGCTTTGACTTTCTGCCGAGAAAGGCGAGAATGGCATCTAGCCTTATCAATTATGGGGATTTGTGGATTGTTGTGAGGATACGCCTGTAGTCAATGCATTTTAGCTCCTTCACAGCGACAATGTGCTAAGTTAAAACTCTAACCGCAAATAAATTGTCCGGGCACCACTTAGCTTCTAGCTTTTTCAGTCACCTGACCTTATCTGCCAACAAGTTGCAACACATTGTAAGCCAAATCCTCTATCTTGTGGGCCTCGATAATGTCAAAAAGAGGCTTCTCTCAAAGCCATATTCTAAACTAGCTGGCAAACCTGGCTCCGCCCTCCTGTCAACTTTATATTTGTAGTCAGCATGCTCACTTACCTGTCCAGCTTCAAACCCGTAACTCAAACTTTGCAAAAAATCGATAAGACCGATATCGATTGAGAACGAAAATCAGCCTTTGACATTCGCGTGCCACGAAGTGTATGTATTATACTTGGGACCGAATCGAATAATTATTCGATTATTCGAATAAATCATTCGAATGCGAATGATTCGAAAAGTCGAATATTCGAAAATTTGAGATTTCGAATAAAATTCGAAAGTCGAATATTCGTAATCTTCAGTTTTCGAATATATTCGATACTCGAATATTCGAAAATCTTCATTTTCGAATATTATTCGAAAGTCGAGTATTCGAAAATCTTGAATTTCGAATATTATTCGATAGTCGAATATTCGAGGGTCATTCATTCGATCGTTCGATGTCCATCAAATATTCGAATATTCGTCGAGCACCGAATATTCGGAAATTCGATAAGAATTGACTATTCGAAAATTCGATAAGCACCGAATATTCGAGAATTCGATGTGCATAGCGTATACGGGATGTCTTAAAAGTATCTACACACCGTTTGATCGCTAGTACCTCTCAAAGTCTTTTGCCAATTTCTGGGTAATATCCAGTAGGGATGGCTTCAGTTTATGAGAACAGCAGAAAGCGAGTCACCCATGTTTTTCTTATTGTGTATTATCACAGTAGGAAGCTCCAGCTTATAGACCAACTGCAAAATAAGACATTAAAAAATGTTCCCAAAAAAGGTCTAAAATCTGTGCAGCAGTGTTTTTACGCATGCTGGTTTCACTACGCACGAGTTTTCAAGCTTTTCAAATGGCAATCACATTTTTGAAAGGCGTTGCAAAACACTTGTTACGGTGTACCTGGCGTACATTTTGAAAAAAAAGCATTGCGGTTAAGTGCAAATTCTACATAAAGTGAGTGCATTTGGAAATCTAAAGCAAGACTTTCAGCCCTTTTGATTCTTTTTCTTGGGGAAATGGCTCTTGTTTGAAACCTGCTTCAGTCTTACGGTAATTTTACAACAGTGAAAAGCGATTGATAAATCGCCCCATACTCTAAATTGACATCAGCCTACAGATCTACATACTGTTGGGACAGCTGTATATCCAGACGCAACTCTCAGTGAGGGTATATAATCTTCTTTGAAGTACGAAAAATCTCTTCACAACCGTCACAGGAGTAGCTTTCAAGTTCCTAAGTCTCTTCACGTCGCGACTAAACCTTTTTCCCATCGTAAATTGTACCATAAGAATGTGTCCATTCTTACAAGGGAAGTTCGCCGAATCGAAATGGCCGTTTGATACGTGGTATATACCCGGACGCGGGGCTCGAAAGGTTAGTATCAAATGTGCGCCCATTAGCTGCGACGCGTTATTGTGAAGCAAGTTATGGGCCTCTGAAGTTTTTGGCGTGTGCATGTCTAGAGGATGCACAAACACTCCGATTGTGGTCGTGTGGCGTAGTGGTTAGCGTCTCGGACTCACAGTTGACCGGTGAGAGTTCGAATCCTGTTGCTGTCCACATGTTTTGCGTTCTTCTCAAAAATCATTTTTTACCTGTTTTATGTATTATTGAGGTATAAAATGACACACACGGGTTACGGGATGATTTTTCTCACGAAAATTCGACCAGTGCTTCATATGTAAAATTTTCATAATACATAGCAACGACTTTTTAGCGAGGCTTTTCATTTGACTTTGAAGATTTGCCAAATCCTCACTCCCACATACTTTCTTCGATTGCACGTAGTATTTGATTGACAATCTCCAAGTTGTATCACGTCGTACTATTGATTCTTGCTAATGGGCTACATTGTGAGAATGGCACAGCAGGATGTATAATTAGTAGAGTTTAAACCACACGTATGTGTCATTTTTTACATCAATAATGCATAAAACAGGTAAAAAATGAATTTTGAGAAGAACGCAAAACATGTGGATAGCAACAGGATTCGAACCCTCACCGGTCAACTGTGAGTCCGAGACGCTAACCACTACACCACACGACCACAATCGAAGCATTTGTGCGTTCTCTAGACATGCACACGCCAAAAACTTTAGAGGGCCATAACTTGCTTCACAATAACGCGTCGCAGCTAATGGGCGCACATTTGATACTAACCTGCCGAGCCCCGCGTCCGGGTATATACCACGTATCAATCGGCCATTTCGATTCGGCGAACTTCCCGCACTTACATGAAACAATTTGTTCTTAGTTTTTTGCCTTTCATAGGCAGTCTCAATGACGTAAATTATTCGGTCAGTATTCGAAAATCGAATGATATTCGAAAATCGAATAACATTCGAGAACCGAATAATATTCGAAATTCGAATAACGAATGATATTCGGTATTCGAATATTATTCGATTCGAAATTTTCATTTTCGAATAATATTCGATAGTCGAACATTCGAAATTTCCGATTTTCGAATAATATTCGAAAGTCGAATATTCGAAATTTTCAATTTTCGAATAATATTCGATAGTCGAATATTCGAGAATTTCAAATTTCGAATATTATTCGATATTCGAATATTCGAAATTTTCAATTTTCGAATATATTCGATATTCGAATATTCGAAAAAAATTTCGAATTTCCCCAAGTATAGTATGTATATACGATTCATGACACGCAAAGACTGGGTGCCGTTGCGTCTGGCCAAGATAGTTCGTGCATGGGAGAGACAAAAAATGGTAAGAGAAACGAAGGAGCACATTGGGGAGACGCCGATACGTCCGCAGTCTTTGCGTGCTAGGAATCGCCCATATTTGTGCAAACTTTGGTCTGGATCGGTCCAAAAAAACTTCTATTCGAAACGTGCGTACAGACATATGGTTCATTCTTGAAATCGTGGCGACGAGGTTAATTGCGGCCTCTATCCACATCACCTGTATCACCTGTATCACCTGTATCCCCGTTGATCATCGTGTTGCACGAGCGGGTACCAGTGATGCCTCCATTCGTCCCTGTCTCGGGCGATTGTCGATCAATGTTTACGTATCGCACCAGGAACACGTGGAACGCTCTGAAGGACTTCATTAAAGGACTTCGTGAACATATCTGACCATCGCGTCGGTGGTCTTCCTCGTTCGCGTTTGACGTCCAGTGGTATCCAATCTGTTACAGCTCTCGTCCACCGGTTGTCGTCGAAACGCATTACGTGCCCGGCCCATCTTATCTTGTTCTGCTTGGCGTACGCGGCAGCGTCCCTGATCTTCGATCGTTGACGTAGGGTAGAACTTCGTAATCCTTGCCTCACTTGCGTGAGTCGATTCACTCCTAGCATCACTCTCTCAACAGCGTTCAATGACGCTAACCGCGTGTTCATCCTGCTTTCTCATTGTCCATGTTACTGAAGCGTACGTCAAAGCAGGAAGGACCGTCGAGTTGAAAAGGTGGGCGCGGAGCCGGATGTTCTTGGTCTTCTTCACTACGTCCTCAATTGTCTTATATGCTCCCCATGCTGCACGTTTCCTCCTGCTCAGTTCCGGAGCTAGATCGTTCATCATATTGAGTTCACGACCTAGGTAGGTGTAGCTTGAGCATTCGGTGATGTTCGTCCCGTTGAGCATGAAAGGAGCATCAGGCACTCTTCCGTTCCTCATGAACATCGTCTTCGTTAGATTCAGCCGTAGACCGATCTTTCCACACACTTCGTCAAACTGGGCCAGCATTTGTTCCGCCTGCGTGATGCTTGGTGTTATCAATACGATGTCATCAGCAAAGCGAAGGTGGTGTAGCTACCGGCCGTCGACTTTCACTCCCATGTTGTCCCATTCCAACTTACGCATGACGTTCTCCAGAGCGGCACTGAATAGTTTCGGCGATATAGTATCGCCTGTCGCACGCCTCTCTTCACGTCAATGATGATGTCCTTGTAGAATGGTGTTATGGTGGCTGTGAAGTCGTTATACAGCTCACGAATTATCTTGATGTAATGAGTCGGAATACCTTGATTGCTCAAGGCATCGATGACGGCTTCAGTCTCAACCGAGTCAAAGGCCTTCTTCAAGTCGATGAAGGTGAGACAGAGCGGCATCTTATACTCTCGTGACACTTCAATGAGCCTTGACACCGTGTGTATGTGGTCGATCGTACTGAATCCTCTTCGAAACCCAGCTTGCTCGCATGGTTGTCCTTCGTCCAACTCTCTTCCGATCCTGTTGAGAATGGCTCGCGTAAAGAGTTTGTAGACTACAGACAACAAGCAGATAGGGCGATAATTGCCGATGTCGCAGGGATCTCCCTTCTTGTACAGCAACACGGTTTTGCTGGTCTTCCATTGCCTTGGAACCTTGCCTTCCGTCAGGTACCGCGTGAAGAGCCTTGCCAAAGTCTTGATGAGAACTGGCGAAAGATTCTTCAGATGTTCTGGCTTAATCCTGTCGGGGCCGGGTGCTGTACGGTTTTTCATCGACATGATAGCATGACGAATCTCGGAAGGAAGAACAGACGGTGCGACATACTCGTCCTCCTTGAGATGGCATGGTGGAAGGTGGACGTGGCTCGCAAAAAGATCCGAGTAGAAGTCGTGGATGACCTTCTCCATTGATCTTCGGGAAGCAGTTATGGTTCCGTCAGGACGACGAAGTGCGGTCATCTTTGTCTTGAAGTTGACGAAGCTTCGGCGGGCGTTGCGTATACTTCTTCCAGCCTCCGCGGCGTCAACCATCACTGCTACTCTTCTCTCCTTAAGGTCTTCTTTTATCGCTTCTCTGCATCGCTTCGCAAGCTCGGACGTCAGTCGGTAGTTGCCTGTGGCTCGTGCGCGTCTACGTTGGCGTATCAGCTCCAAAGTCCCCGTGGTGAGACGCCTTCTCGTACTTCTTAGACTCTGAGCTTCCTTGGCACAACCGTGGAGATGTTGTACGAACCGTTCGTATTCTTCGTCGATGTTGTCCATCACGGTATCTCGCCATGAGCCGGATATCAAAGAAAACAGATCCCAGTTGGTGGTATTCATGGGACGATGTTTCCTGAACTTGACGGCTCTCTCTCCATTCCGCGGAAAGTAGAATTTGGCGCGCAGGAGACGATGGTCTGATCCCGTGTAGAACTTCGGAACAACAGCGACGTCCGTCAGGCAGTACCTTCTGTTGACGATGATGTGGTCAATCTCGTTATGGTACTCTCCACCGGGCGATTCCCAGGTCCAGCGTAGGGAAGAGGGCTTTTGGAACTGTGAGTTTCCATGGATAGTCCTCGTCGTCATGATAAACTCGGACAGTCTCTCCCCTTGTTCGTTCCACTGCAAACCATGGGTTCCGATGTGAAGTTCCTCAGTCGACCTTCTAGTTCCGATCTTCGCGTTGAAATCACCGACGATGATCTTGTAGAAGGTATGATCTTCTCTGTAGAACTTCTCCAAGTCCATATAAAATTCCTCGAGTTCGTCCTCGTCGTAGCTGGATGTTGGGGCGTACGCAATGAAGACGGTCAAGGCAGGGATTGATCCACATCTTGATATTCGCAAACGTCCGATTCGAGTTGTAAGTTGTTCGAACGAATCGATGTTCATGGCCAAACTCGTGTTGACAAGGACTCCCACTCCACCTACTCCTCGACTGTCGCATGTTCCTAGAAACAGTTCTTCTCCAGTCTCAAATGTGGCGTTCAGCGGGTGGTGCCTCCTTGTCTCAGTCAGTCCGATGACGTCGTACTTAATCTTCCTTGCTTGCATCATGAGATCTTCGATAGATGCGTCCGATGCCAGCGTCCTCGCGTTGTAAGTACAGATCGTCATCATAGTCCGCCTCGTTTTCGGCAGCCTAGATCGCCTTTCAAGCCTTGTCCCCACTGGCGCTGCCTTACCAGTGGCTCTTCCAAGATTAAAGGAGCTTTCCATATTATCACTGTGTCGAATAAGAATTTACTCGCAGGGATAGCTTGTTGGGCTCAAAACCCCCGCGAGGGACGATCGGAGCTTATTTGTTGGAGGCGACTCCGAACTCGCCTCCCCACACACCTACCCGGGAAATTAGGGCGCAAGCTTTTAGTGGAGGAAGGGAGTCCGTCCCCCGGCTCCGCTTGCTTATCAGAGCAGGCGCGGGGTCGCTTTTGGTCGGCGATTATCCCCCTATCCGCCACCTGGGGACGCCCCACGTAGCCTCGCGACTAACCGGCTGTGATCCCTCTGTGAGGGAGATCCGTGCTTGTAGTATACAGGTACACAAATAGAAACAGCATAGCTTTGTTTTAGTAAAAACAAAAAAAATTTCTTTTTTTCGATTTCTAGATGAGAAAAAAATACAGCAACGGTACATATGAGTGTCTGATATAGTGTGCAATTTTTGTGAGCAAGCTGGAGATTCGTAGAATTTTTTCGAGCGAAGATATGAATTTTTCGCGTTTTTTGAGCCTTCAGTACGACTCAGATTTTGGGTGCAAACTTATAGTGCGTCGCAGTTGGTGCGAAATTTTGCAAACTGTTTTGTAGAGCTTGCTTTGCTCTATCGAATGGTATCCTGAAGCCCTGTAAAGAATATGAGGAGCATGACTTATCGCCGTAAGAAGTAAAGTGTAACAAGACTTATGTAACAACCTAATATTAGGTTGGTGCAAAATTTCCGCCCAAATTCAAAAATTCATAACTTGTTGACTTCTCAACGAAACTGCAAGATCTAAATTTTGCTTAAGAGAGAAACTCATGTTCTTTGCATCTATACCAGAACTGCTCGTTAAAGTTTACAACTTAAGGAGATATAAGCTCAGAACCAAAATCACTCAAAATTTGAATTTTTCGTGTAGGGTCATAAAAAATCGGAAATCTGCAACAAAAATCGGAGCAGTCAGGATTGTAGGTTCTTTCACCAGCTCTTTCTAACGGTGCAAAGTTTGCGCTGATTGAGCGTCTCTATAAAAAGTTATGATTTCCCTGAAAAATGCCAAAATAAATCAAATTCGCCCTTTTGTATTGCTTGCTCGAAATTCATAACTTTTGATAGAAGCGCTCAATCAGCACAAACTTTGCACCATTAGAAAGGGCTGGTGAAAGAACCTACAATACTGACTGCTCCGATTTTTGTTGCAGGTTTCCGATTTTTATGACCCTACACGAAAAATTCAAATTTTGAGTGATTTTGGTTTTGAGCATCTATCTCCTTAATTTGTAAACATTAACGAACAGTTCAGGTACAGATGCAAAGAGCATGAGTTTCTCTCTTAAAGGCAGCGTACACCCAAAATTTCACCTTCGATGTTTTTGTCATTTTGGGGCCTTTCCGTGCCGCTGATTACAGTTATGTCATTGAAATCCTCCAAAAGTCCCAAAAAACTCCGATTTCCAGGGACCCTCTCTTTAGGGACGGACGAGTTTCGAACTGCTCGTCCTTGTCGGCATGCCAGCAGCTGCAACAGCATGACAGCCTGCAGTTGCAACTGCAACTGCTGCATATGCCGTCGTGGTTCGTCGGCCGAAGGAGGCGCACCGCAAAAAGCAACTGCACTGTTGCAACTGCAGTTACAGATGCAACAGCATTGCAACAGCAACTGCAACGGCAACTGAAGCTTACGCTGTTGTGGATTCGTCCGGAGGAGGCGGAGCGAAAGAAAAGGGGCGTAGTGAAAGAAAATTGAGGGGAGTTTTCTCCGCTCAGAAGCAGCACTGGGAGACCAGACCAACGCAGTTGGTCTTCTTCTGGGCCCAGTATATACATGGTGTAGAAAGATCTAGGAAATTCGGGAACTTAGATTTTGGGTGTACGCTGCCTTTAAGCAAAATTTAGATCTTGCAAATTCGTTGATAATTCAACAAGTTATGAATATTTGAATTTGGGCGGAAAGAACTTTTGCACCAACCTAATAAATCAATTTCTACTGAATTCGCATCGCTATGGTTTTTCGAGGGTAAGTTCCAATTTATTGTGTAATCGATCATTCACCAAAGGACTGACATTCTCTGCCACTTCGACAGGATTTTCCAGAATCGCAGTCATTGTTAGTAACAGTTATTTTAGAAGGCTCCAACAATTAAATTATTGAAATGTCTTTTGCCTGAGGTTCCACGTTACAAGAAGGCGACGCAGATTTTGCACAAAAATCGAGCAAACAGGCTTTCTCCGACTTCTTCTCATCAGATTGTTTATTGCATGCAGCCTAATCGCTTAAAGCACCTTCCACTTTGAGTTTAGGGGTATTGCTTTTGGCCGCAGATGATGGCAGGACCCCTATTAAGTCAATGCCCAAGTCACGGCGCAAATTAGAAAATCGTTTCCGGAATAACGAAGAGGCACGGTAACCCCTAAGCGGCACCGCCTCTTTCAGTAATGCCCCCCATCCATACTCGCCCATCCAACACCACTCGAAAAAGCCTTCCCGCTGATGCTCCGGTACGGGGCTTGTTGAATTTTTCGCGGACTCTCGACTTCAAATTTGGAATCAGGGACAGGAGAAAGCCCCGGAAAACAATCAGGGACGACAAGAACATGGAAGTCGAGATTAAGAGTGGACGGTGCTTTTAAGTTCTACTAGGTTCTACTATCTCACCTTGTTCACATCGTTAATGATGCATTTGTCACATTTTAGTGAGCGCAATCGTACCGTTTGATAACGTGTCCCTTCGGCGCACTGCTGTAATCTAAAACTGAAAAAAGCGAAGCATTTTGCGTTTTCGAAACCCTTGCCTTCCAAGTGATCACGAATTCATTACCAGGCAGAAGACCAAGCTGAAGTTTTCTTGCAAGACTAGCACCAACATTGATTCCAGGCGTGCAATAAGGCAGATCAAGAACAAGATGTTTCGTGTATTTACTTAAACTAACTTTAGCATTATATTCGTACAGAAGTCTTGCCTAGCACATCTTTTTATTAGTGCAGTCTAATGCAAATGACTTTTGAATTAAGAAACGAAAAGTAAAGCTCAAGCATATTTACGGCCTATCAACCAGATATCACCTGATGAACTCAATGTTGCTTTGAGACTGTTTGTAAACAAAATCTGTATCCAGTTCTATGATTGGAGCATTAAAACGAAAATATCTGAAACAAAGTCATTGCGGTCATTATAAGTACGTGAAGCTTGAGCACTTACGTACGCTGCATATACAATATAACGTCTGGTTTCTCTCGCTGCACAAGTTTTCTTATAATTTCAGACATTTCCCTCGAACACCATAAAAAAGGGCAACCTTATATAAACCGCTGAATATATGTGCAGCCAAGAATCTTATTCTAAACGCACTAGGTCTCGAAAAAAGTCGGAGGTTGCGATAACGGCCTTTGAAGATATCGTGAACAAGCGCATACGCTCTGCATGCAATCGAATCTCCCATCAAAATAACACTAGCGGTGCCATTTCCTTTCTGAAATATCATCGTCGAAACCAGCAGCAATAAAATTTTTCAAGTGTTAATATGCAATTTTATAAATATTCAAAGTAAAATGGCAATACTTTTGGCAAGGTGTTCAATTTGTTTGCTTTACGAAAACTGAGATACTTACTGCAATGCATCGGTAGTCAGGAAAAGCAGTATAGTTCGTGTAAATCTCAGTGTCCTTGTCTTTTTCGCATGGCATTCCGTAGACATGATATTCGGCTTCTTTCATGTTCCAGCGAATTGCGTAATCGATCTCTATAGCATGCTACCAACTTGCTTCAGTTGCAAAAAGTGGCAGACCATCAATAATACAGGAAAAAAGAAGAATCCATACTTGAGTTATAAATATTTGTGCTTTCTATGTTGGTTGTATGGAGATAGATCCGTCTAGAACTGAAAATGCAAGCATAGCACACCATAACGCACACAAAAGCCGGTAGCATGGTACTTTTCATAAAATAAAACTGCAAGTGTAGTCAATGTGCTATGTACTATATACTTGAAGTACTCTGACTTCGAGAGTGTGGTGGATCGCTATCGATACTGTTGAGCAAATGTAAATTGAAATGAGAATACCTAAAGTAAATTTTTTGTCTCTATTAATTAGAATATCAAAATCAAGAAGCTATCTTCATCTCAAACCTAACCGCAAACTATTCTCTGACTCATCAAATACGAGGATTTGGATTTTTAGAGACACCACTCTAAGACAATCAGTAGCAGTCAGCGGATGAGTCAGCAAAGTCGGAGAAAAGCAGCGAAATGATAAAAAGGCTCTGACAGCAACGTAAGGTTACACTGATGATAGATGATTAACGACTGAGCAATCCCTTTGGGAAGCAGTATTTAGCCTGGGGTATTTTATGCCGAAACCAAGTATGCATGGCAGAAAATTGCCCTTAATTGAGAGCCTGCTCATTTTTGCCATTTGATTTCCGCGACACCATGAATGACGTTTTAGCTCTTTGGGAGCGGCAGTCTTACCTTCACGACTAAGATGGTAAAAGATAGCTAAGACACTCAATACTGTTCGTCATCGTGGTCGGTCATGGCTTCATCTTACCTAAGCGGACTCTGCCCCCTCGTTTTTTCATTTGCTGGAAGCTCGTTCACAACTAACAAGGGAATGGTCCGAAATCGAAGTGAGTGGCCAATGCAAACAAGCTGCAGCATTAGATGCAGCATAAAATGCTGACTCTAAATCTGTCTTCCTTGTCTGCAGAACACTTTTGAGGATGAAGTAATAAGCCGTGGAAGGCCATTATTTTGCTAAGAAACCGTTCGTGTACTTGGTTGTACAGAGCGATTGTCGGGGCTTAATGCTGGGCCAATACATGCAGCTAGGTCACTTCATATGGTCCTTGCCTAGAGGTGAGCTAAAAGGGCAATAATGTGCTTAATTTTGCAAATTTTGTGTACAATTTTTTCGCAGTAAAGCTGCTCATTTCGCCTTCAAAGGCGTTCTCCAGACAAGGAAAACAGATTTGACAGCGCCCGTGCTGCCTCGAAAAGTATGCAGCTTGTTTGGATTGGCCACTTCGACCTGACCATTACCCTGTAAGTAGCGTTCGGGCTCTTTCATTGATGTACATTGGTGACGGTTTAGACATTATATATCGTGAATAGTTCCAAATTCATTACACCATTTATCTACTGGGGCTAAAACGCAGTTTTTATGACACAAGTAGAATTGTGCAATCTGTCACGTATCAGCTGCCATTTGATGTTGTTTGGTGGGATGTTCCAAGAGCAACATCTCGATTTAGACAAGCTTGCCTCAGAACATTGTTTGTTTCACTTTTGTTACCCTGCGTATGTAAATGGTTAGTACAAAGGAAATGTAGCATCATTTCCGTCACATTCCTCAACTATGATCTAGAATTTTCAGACCTACTGAGGAAAGTCATTTTGTCGCCATCTCGCGCGCCACCGTGAGAGATTCCTGCATTGCTTTCGCCACTGCATGCAAAATATTGCGCACAACCGCTCGTTTTAGGTGAGTGACGAGGAGATCTGGTGTACTTAATGATATGATATTTCCAGAAATCTTCTTACGATATCACTAAACATGCACGGCGCCATCTTTTCATCAGCTCCATAATTGAGGCAATCAACCATTTTCAATTTCTCTTTAATACTCTTACTACGATTGTTGTTTCAAAATCTGGAAACACCCATTATGAACTGTGTCGATGTTAATATGCAACATTCATCGAGCTACGAGTAGTACGCACGTGGGCGTTTAGATAGCACTGGTTCCTCCATTCTCCTCACCTTGCAGATGGAAAATGCCGCTGCTAGTCTTTAGCCCGTTGCCAACTCCTCAACTGCGGTTTCCTGACCTCGCTCATTTGAAGAAATCACAACCAAGACATTCCTTGACGATCACTAACTAATCCATCCATTTAGTTTTGTTTCCTGTCTCACACCACACTTGCGACTTCTACTTCTCTTGCTGACTGATGTGAATTGCGTGTCCATTTCTCATCTGTTCCTCTCATGATAAGAGCAACTCATCGGTTTTTTTCCTTTGTAATCGTATTTGTTGGGCACAAAGATGGTGCAATCTCTCGTATGCGTGCGCGAGATCGTGATGTTAATGCACCGTAAACACGGCATGGCGACAGTATCCCAGGATTTAACTTTGTACAGTGCCTTGGAGACAAATACAAACTACAACCGATGTTAAAATGGGAAAATGGTTAGGTCGAACAGGCGAGCACAAAGTTCTGGAATGTTCAGTTGGACGGTGGCAGGAAACGTCTCCTTCTGTAAAGCTGAATAATACTAGTTTGTTCCCAAAGTTCTGTCCAATTTGTAGATTTTCTGATTTGTTGTGTTGTTGAAATGTTATAACCAGGGCATCTGCGCGGATGTGGCGTACCACACCTGAGGGGTCGCATAGAAGGGCCAGGGAGGGGAGGGGGGGGGGGGGGAGAAGTCGTTATCGGGTAGCGATAACATGATATTAGTTAACAATAGCAGATATTTCCATTAAGCAAAATACTATCACACGATGCTTTGGCCTACCATCGTATCGGTACGTAAGCATAATTAAAGAGCTCTTAAAGCATAAGAGCATCATCTTGGTGATTAGCATGGTAAATACTCATTTAAAGATTTAGCGAATTCCGAGGTTTTTATATTTATATTCACCCACCTAAATGAGACGGTCACTTACGAACATGTTGAGTTTGTTTCAAAGGGGAATTAACTACTTTTTTGCACTTTATACCAAGAACTACTAATTCCTTGCTCACGTTAGGAATCCCATTTTGAATAACTCCCACATAAAAAATCAAGAACAAACCTAGTTTGTCCCATTTTTCGCTTTCGTTATTTCGGGCTAGAGAAGAACAATCATGTTTAAATCACTTATATGAAAATTACGAGGTTCAGGCGCCATCGAATCTATTTATTCTTGACTCCTTCCCTCGCGATTCCCGTAGTAGCGCAGACTTAGCATGTTATCGTAATCCAATATTTTCGCAGTATTTTCCACTCGCGTAGGTGAGGAAAAACGACTAAATTTTTTCTCTAGGAGAAACAATTCTGAATAAATTTACCGTGTAAAGAAGAAGGTTTAGCAGTGGCAACTACATAAAAATACAGATATAAGTCAATAGGGAGGGGGGAGGGGGGGGGGGGAGTGGCACAGTTCTTGAAAAGGTGTGGCAGCCATAACCTTTCCTGAGTTGTGCCAATCTCCCACTAACCCTTTCGGACCTAGATCCGAAAGGGTTAGTGGGAGATTGGCACAACTCAGGAAAAGTTATGGCTGCCACACCTTTTGGCAACTGCCACCACCAACTTCAGAGGGCAGTAATTTGGCGCAATAGCAGAATTTTGCTACTTATTGCTACAGGTGCCAGACACTCTTTGCCCTCCTAACAGTGTTTTGCAACCCACCATTTTATTCTTGGTGCTGTTAGCAATGTAAGAATCTTCATGTGAAACTGAGAAGTGAAAAATCAATAATTGCCTCGGTCAAAGCATGCTAATAAGTTGCCCGTCATCTCTTTAGATAGCTGAGACATATACGCACTATACAGATGTGAAGTATGGTGTTATGCGGGAACAGCTACTATGAGTCCGCGGTTCTACGTTTGTTCCAAAAAATCTCAAAATTAGAAGAAAGTTTGGACAAAAAACCAAAATTAAAAGTATTTCGTTATCGACAAAGCTTCAAACTTCGCTGTGTTGATTTACTAATGCTTCTCCATTAACATCAATAGGTGATTAGTTCTCTCACTCACGGGAAGAAAGTCTATTCCCAAAGGCTTAAGTTACCTCCAAAAAGATTCATCATCAATCGTTCTTTATTGCTGTAGGATGATGGTAAGAACTTCCATCATAGAGAACCATTATGAAATAAGCCGTTGACATTTTTTTCGTTAAATCTGAAACTACTTCAGCTACTTCAACTACTTCAAACTATCAGCTACTTCTAATGTCTGAACATTATCGATGTAAGCAAAAACACCATTAGAGTAGAGGTAGAAACCATTGTTTGCCTAAATAGGACCTAGGCCTTCCCCGGAACTCATCAGTAAGGAAGTATAGCTCAGCTGAAACTATTCACTTTCTTTGCTTGTCCCACCCACCTTTCCTTACGCCGCTGACCATCATTTTTTTCGGGTTTTTGTTCCACCTTTTTTGGATCTTATATTTCCAATTTTTTTGGATATTCCTAGAATGGCATGCAACATACAAATACTGTACTATACTACAGTAGGAGTAGACCAGGAAACTCCACTACAACATCATGCAATTATGTTAACGCTCTGAGATACAATGCGTTAGCTGTGCTCCATTCGGGCGCATATATGTACAGGCTCGCCGGACTCCCGACCCAACACGTCACGTATAGCTAACATGCGAAAAACAGTGTTCCCTGGCCTAGTCCTACTGTTCGCAGAGACTGCCTTTGCAATTTGTTCATCGTCCTAGCGAATGAAGGCCTGACCGAAAACTGCAGTTGCTTGAAGTCAAAGAGCATATCGGAGGGGATTAAGGGATTCTTAAATTACGAACGATTTCACCTTTGGGGCCGCATGCACTAACCTCCCGCTGGGGAGGGGATTGCAGCTTAAAAGAAAGCTTCATATTCTGAAGCTCCAAATATTTGGATTTCACGTTGTGTACCTATCCGTAAGTATTCCTACTACCCTTCACTATGAACATGTTGAACAGGAGCGAGAAGCTGTACGAACCGCATTTTCCAGCTTT